ATATACTATAAAAATATATAAAAATATATTTATATTTATATATTTTAAAATATACTACTAAATACTATAGGCATATAGTATTTACATTAATACTAATAGTATCCCTCCCCCCCCCGGAAGACAATCCACATATAAAATACTGCAAATACTCTTCTGCAATTTGTTCCTCTAGCTCAACACTATATTTTGCAGATTTATCTGTGGTGCTTCTCTCAGCCCTGGCTCATGCACATTAACTGCTCTATCATATTCCTTTGTATGAATTTATTTGTGCATTTTCCCTTGATGAATGTTGGCTATCTCTAACTTTTCAGAAATACAGCCACAAACACTCCTGACCTTGTCCCCCCACCCTGGAACCTTCTCCAGGGCCAAGGCTTTCAGAATGACCTGACTGCCACCCACTATCAGAAATGAATTCTACACTGGGACCCCGTGTAACCCCCCCACACACACACACTCACACATGGGCACAGACACACACCACAGTTCTGAACAATAATACTCTGACTACATTTTCAAAAGCATTCTCTTAATTTCTATCATAATGCTCTTCACCAGGTTGATGGAGTCCCATTCCTACTCTGCTGAGAGTTCTTAGGAAAGGCTGTTGAGTTTTGTCCAATTGTTTTTCTGCCCATTTAAGATGATCCTAGGGTTTTTAAATCCCGCCCATCAGGTGAAGTGGGGTGTGGATTTCCGAGGTTGAGCCAACCTTGCATTCCTGGGATCGGCTTTGCCAGGCCACGTGGCAATGCACTGTGTGCCAAGCTGCCAGGTCTGAGGGCACTGTCCTTGGAAGATTGTCCTCATGCCTAATACCCACTGCAAGAGTGCAGGTCCCCAAGGCCTTCCTCACTTCCTACCAGCTGGCTACAAATTGGGGGGTTCCCACAAACACCTTCAGGTCTGATTATTCAGTAAAATCAAAATTCAGGAAAGCATTCTACTCACAATTACTGTCCTATTATAACAAAAGACAGAAGTCAGAAAGAACCGGAAGAAGAGACACTGCACAAAGTCTGGGAGGGTTCCAAGCGTGAAGCTTCCTTGTTCTCAGGGTCACATTACTCTCTGGGCATCAGAGTGTGACAATGCTTAGAGGACTGGAAAATGGGTAATGCCCCCAAGCCTCGGGGTCCTTCTTGGCTCCTCCATGCAGACAAGATGGACTGAGTCATTGCCACGTGGCTGACCTCAGTCTCTAGGCCCCTTCCTCCCCAGAAGATGCAGCTGRTTTCATTTGACTCACAGCCTCAACTCTCTAGTCACATACCTGGTCTTTCTGGTGTGGCCATTCTGAGTCACCCATTGGCAGAAACCATCAGTCGGGGTCTGAGATACCTACCACAAATAACAAAGGCACTCTTGTGGCTCCGGATGTAGCTCCACGGGGCAGCACTTGCCTGGCACACATGAGGCCCATCCCCAGCACAGCGAAGGAAGAAAAGAAAAAGAAATTCTGTTGAGTGGGGGTGTGTCTTTGTGGTAGCGCACTGCTTACCTCATCTGCAAGAGGTCCTGGGTTCTGTCCCCTGCACAAAAAAAAAAAAAAAAAAGAAAAAAGAAAGAAAGGGAAAAAAGAATTGAAAAGAAAAAAAGATGCTATCTTTTAGAAAATTCCAGAGTAGAGGTATCACCCAGAAGCCAAGAACAAAGAGAAGCTGAATTCATCCTTCTGCAGATGTGTTATCCTTTCTAATGTAGCTAAATTTAATTTGCTATTCTGTGTTAAGAACTCCAAATCTATGCTCATGAGGGATATTAATCTGCACTGTGGTGGATTTTTGACACATACTTTTAATCAAATTTTAAAAGCTTCCTTCTGGTCCCAGTTTGCTAAGTATATTTGACTTTAGTCAGATGCTTTTTCTGCATCTATGAGGATGATGATATAGTTATTTTTCTTTAATTGGTTAATATGATGAATTCTATTATGAGAACTTCTGGTGTTGAGCAATTTCCATTCTAGAAAAATAATTTTTAATGTCATGTAAGCTTTTCTTTTATTGAACATGATCCATTTTAATATCACAAATACTCCTTTTTAAAAGTGAAACTACTTCTCTACATTTGCAAATGCAAATCCTTTTGGCATTGTGTTCCAGGAGCATTTATATGTTTCTGAAAATATCAAATTGAAACCTTATAGAAAATGCAGTTCTCCTATCCACATTCCTCTTTTTTTCTTCCTTAACCCTCCTTGAAGTTATAACTCTTAAGAACCGAGGTGGCCGGGGCTGTAGCTCAGTGGCAGAGCACTTGCCTAGCCCTGGGGAGGCACTGGGTTTGATCCTCGGCACCTCTTAAAAATAAATAAAGAAAAGGCATGTTGTCCATCTACAACTACAAAATAAATAGAATTCRGTCTGCCTCCTAAGAGGGACTTTCTTTGCATTTATAAACTGTAACATTTTAAATTTTAATAGAACACGCCTATACCCACATGTATGTTCATGCTCCACGGTTCAAATCATACAAGTGTAATTCTGCTTTGTCAATCTGTAATTTGTTCTGGATTTTTTTTTCCATGTTGTCACAAGTACACGTGTCCTCATTCTAATAACTTGGCTGTATGATGTCATATGAGAAGACAACCATTCCTCCAGCTACCCTCGAACTTCTCCAGGTAGAAATGAGTGACACCGCTGGTTCTTAATATATACAGGATTGTTGTTATTTTAACAAATGCTATCAAAATCGCTCACCAAAGTGGCTATCCCAGAGCCTTCAATGCACCCGTTGACCTTTCCTCAAGTCCACACATACTCTGGCGAGTTGCTGTGACCTTGATGGAGCAAGGCACAGTCTCTCTCCAAGCCCCCAGTGACTCCATCTGCAGGAGATGGCAGTTGGGTGGCCCCCATCAGTGCCTGAGATGGTGTAATGATAGGTTTGCAGCCTCTGAGTGGGTCGGGAGTGACTGCCCTAGAGGAAACCCTGAGAGGAGGAGGGTGCATCTGGCAGCCAAGCTGAAGGCAGGCAATTTAGAAGCACTTGGTCCTCATCTCAGCTCCTCCATTAGCACAGTGACAATTTATCTGGTGCTTTCATGCAAAAGTCCCCTCTGGAAGGCCTAAACACCCTGTTCCAGAAGAGCTCACCTACTAAGGTCACCAAGCTTGACAGAGGACTGGGTCATTTTCATTTTCTGAAACTCCCAGCAAATTAAAAAAAAATAATAATAATAAGGCCAGCAGGGTTAGCAAAACTGTGTGTATCTTATTGCCACGGAACAAATAAATACTCTCAGCAAATGCAGAGCAACATCATTGCACTAGTCAAAGATAATTATAGGATTTACAGACAATATTAATTCATAATGTAGTACAGATGGTATGGTCCAGGAATGGAACGCACATTTACCACTATATGAAAAATAGCTTTCTTTTCCAAGTCTACCATGGTGATGCTGTGTCTGAATGTTTAAGGGCCCTAGGAAAAGGCTAAATTTGAGCAACTTTCTAAATGTGCGACAGGACATTTACTTCTCCATCCTCCCCAGGTTCAACCACTCTGGGCAGACAGGAAAGAGAGACGTTCTGTTTGACCTTTCTCACTCCCATACCTGTGTTGAGGACCCACATTCTGAGCAAATGTGAGTGCATTTTATAGTTTTAATCTATGCCTTTGGGTCTATTTTAGCAGAGTGAAAGAGAAAAAAAATTTCTTCTGCCTTTGGAGTTGTGAAAAGGCAGAGATGACAGAGATGAGGTATGTTCTGGGACATGGAGGAGACGGATTCTGCAATGTGGTGGAGATGGGTTCTGGGAAAGGACAGAGGTGTGTGTCCAAGACAATTGCAGGACTTCAAGACAATATTAATTCATATTCATATTCTGAGACAGCAAGTGGGTGGATTCTAGGCCACCCCCGTTGAGGTAGATACTTAAGTCAAGTACCCGAGGGGGTCCTGGGACCGGGTTGAGAGATGGMTTCTGGTCAGAATGAGGATGATTCTGGGCCATGAGAGAAATGAATTCGGGGACATGGAAGCAGTCGGTTCTAGGACAGGGACAGATGGATTGTGGGCAGGCCAGCCCACTCTTGCTCCCAGAACCCACCCATGCATTGTTCCCCTGGAACCCAAGCCACATCCCATAGACACTCTTGGCTTATTCTCTCCCACAGGCCTGGCTCAAACCTGGCTTCTCGGAGCGGCCTCCCTGCCCCCTCCCCACTAGGTCTGCCCCGACCCTGCCCTGCCCAGCACTGCGCGGCGGGGGAGGACTGTAGACTTGGAGCTGTAACAGCGGGTCCCTTGTCTACTCGCCGCTAGACCAGGACTCCCTGTGGGCAGGGGCCATCTGAACAGCGCCGCGCAGAGCTCAGGGCCAGGCACCGAGGTTCCCCGGCTAACGCGGTTTCCATCAGACGAGGATCCTGTTTGATTTGCGATTTCATGCCTGGTGGCCGGGGCCTCAGAAGTCTATGTTGAGTCAATCAATAAAGGAAAGCAGGGCAAGGGGGCGGGGGCGGAGGGGRGTAAAGAGAATGCCCAGGAGGGAAGGCAGGAGGGAGGCGCTCGGAGAGCTCGGGAGCCCGCGGGAGGGTGAGGGAGACGCGCAGAGCCCGGAGGGCGGGCGACACGGCGCACGGGGACCTGATGAATGACTGTCGCCGCGGTCGCCGGCGCGCACCAGGGCCTGGGCAGGCGGCGCGGCTGGGTGTGCACGGGAAGGACCCTCCGGGGAAGCCCGGGCGCCCGGGGCGCGGCGCGGCAGGTGCACGTGCCGGGGTCCCGGCCCCGCCTGCCCCGCCCGCGCCCCTCCCCGCGGCCCGCCGCGCGCGGCATTGTGGGAGTTGTGGTCCTCGCGGCCCCGCGGAGCGCAGCGCGGCGTCGGCACCGGCGGGGGCACCGGTTCGGCTCGGCTCGGCTGGGCTCCGGCGGCGTGGGCCCGGCAGGTGCCGGGCGGTGGCCCCGCGGCGCGGGCAGGGGGCGTCCGCGTGTCAGCGCCCTCGGGCGGCCGCGTTGTTGCCTGGTGCCAGCAGCCGCCCCCGCCGCCCGCGCGCCCGGGCGCAGGTAAGCGGCGTCTCCGGGGCTGCGGGGCGGGAGGGCGGCGCGGCCCGGCCGATCCCGGGTCGGGGCTTGGAGGCGCGGGCCGGGCGGTCAGGCTCGCGGTCTCCGCGCTTGGCGCTGCCGCCGAGGATGCTCCCGGACGTCTCGACCGCATCCCGGCTCGGCCCAGGGGCCCTGCGGCCAGCGCTCGCTACGTGCCGGGCCGCCGCCGTGACGGGGATCGCGGCCGACCGGGCATCACCCTCCTCCTCCCCCTCCTCCCCCTCCCCCTCCTCCTCCCCGCCCGGTCGCAGTCCCCTCCCCCTCTCCTCCTCCCCCGGGAACCCCGGCTCCTGGCCTCCTCTCCGCCTCTCCCAGCCCTCAGCATCACCCGCTTCCCACATTCCCCGTGGTGACCCACCTCCCCTGTCCCATTAGCTGTCAGGCGCCATAAACCTCCTGCCCTCATCGCAGCCGATCGCCCACTTTTCCTGGCAACACTCACCTTCCCCGTCCCATCCCCCTCACCCCCTGACTTCCTGGTGGTCACCGTCTGCGTTAACTCATCCTGTGCCTGCCCCTCTTTCCCACTCTCCAGGCCGGTGGGTGCTGAGAACGCTGGCCCAGAGAGTGCGGGAGGGAAGAGCCCCACCGGGAGAGCTGGCCCCAGCGCAGCAGTCTGGCTCCGGAGTGGAGTGGAGAGGGTTCCATGCATCACACTCCTGGCCCAGCGCTGGGCTGCTCCTTTCTGGGTGTTCAGGGTGGCCTGGTCCTGAGGTGACCAGAAGCTCTGGAACACTGGGCAGCCCCTTGAACTGGCCATTTAAACTGGGGTAGCTGGGTCAGGCAGGGTCTGCAGGCGTTCATCCTGTCAGAAGTTACATTTGATTGGGCTTGAATTTGGACCCTATTCCCCAGAGCCAACTGACATTTAAGGTCTGAGTTTGCATGTTATTATTAAAGTGTGGAGCCCTGAGATGTTTCCATCCGTGGTGGGGACAGAAATGAAACATGCAAATGAACAGATGTGGGTAGAAGGCTGGAAGTTACTGTTGTCCCTGAGAGAAGGAGCTGTGTGCTCCTGTGGCGGTGGGGGCTGTCGCTGGGGGGTTGAATGTTTGGAGCAATTCATAAGAAACGACCACATTTGAGGGTTTCTTTTAGTGTCATGGATAGGCTGTGGGCTTGTACATCCACCTCTGGTCGCCGAACTATTTTGGCTAAAAGTGATTGGCAGGTATAGAAAGTCCAAACTTCAGCTCTCAGGTTCATGGCCTCCTGAGGAGGGTCCGAAGCTGGGATTCACAGCGTCAGGTCTTCACAGCTGTGGGTTCGCTGCTGCTTGGAGAGGGCGCATGGCTGACAGATGAAGCTTCCCGCAGGAGGGGGGGAGCAGCTGGGTGGCCAGTGGCGAGGTCCCTCCTCATCTGCCCGGTTCTCTGTGTCTGCATTTTGTGGACTTGAACTTGGGTGATTCRCAGGGCTGCTGGGAACTCACACTTAACAGGTGTGTTAAATCATCGCCATCTCACTCCTAGAGCGTCCAGGAAGAAACTGCTCCTGAGAGACAGAGTTTGAGAATTCCAATTAGGGTATCAGCACAGTGGTGGGGGGAATCCTTTCCCCAGAAGCACTAGTTCTCTCCCTCGTGACAGCCTCACGCTGAATTTCAGGAATCCCGGGGTTCTGCCTGGGATGGCTGCAAACAAGACACCTTTCTTTAATCTGGGTTGAGAGGAAGGAGCTGCTGGTCTAGGAGAAGACAAGAGGGATGAGTCTCCATATCCAGTGGGATCCAGCCCTTCCCTGTTCTGCATCCGAGGAGCAATTGGGACCGTGTTGGGGGGAGGGTAGCCTCTAACCTCCCCACACTGGTGTTTTTCCTAGAAACATAAAAAAATTCCCATGAATATTCAGAGTGTGTTTTTGACTTACTAAACATTGTAGTCAAGTGATTCTTTATTCAACCAAAACTGGGAAGAAGCCAGTAGGCAGTTAATGAGCACCTAAGGTTTCCCTTAGCAAGCCTGGGGACAGAAAAATCACTTGAGATTTGGGTCTGAAGAGCGCTGGGCGTTCACACTGAGCTGTCGGGATCCAGTGGAGTCCTCCTTTCATGACCCTCCTCTGGTTGGCTGGCCAGCCCTAGGGGGTGCCGCCCCTCCTGGCAGTCACCAGCACTTATTGGGTGTTCCCAGCGACGCAGTCCTAGTACTTTGTGTGCACCTTCAGCCGGAGAGAGGAATGTGAGCCCCATTTGTTGGTTACAGAAGCTGAGACTTGGCGAGGGCCGTGACCTGCCTGGGGTTGGCATTGACACTTGATCCTGCCCGTCTCCAGTTTGGGCTCAGAACTTCTCTGCTGAGCAGCAAAAGTTTTCGAGGCCAAGGGTGTCCCCAGGGAAAGGGGAGGGTCCCATCTCCCCATTTGTTCAGCTGTCTTCCTATATTCCCGGGAGAGAAGGGGAAAACACAAAGTGACGTCTCCAGGAGTGGGGAGGTAGAGGCTTGTTGAGGAACAGAGCGCTGCTGTTCCCAGCTGCTCAGAGAAAGCGAGGCAGAGAAAGGGACTCGCAGACACGCAGCCCAGGTCTGAGAGGGTCGCGCCGCTGGACACCGGGGCCATGATCTTCCCTTGGGTTTCTGGATAACTGTGGTGTTGGCCACCGGCCCAACCATAGGCAGGATGACTGGCAAACCACAGCTTCCTGTTTGGGAAAGTGCAGGAAACTGAGTCACAGGCCTGGAAGGACTCCTACTTCCACGCCACCCCATTGCTCACTGACCACGTGGGTGAGCTAGTGCCTTGTCTCCAAGCTGGAAAGCAGAAGAGCCCTGTGTCGGTCACAGGTGTGACCCCAGGGCACCCACTTCCTTTCCCAAGTCGGTATTAGCCGAACCCTGGACTGAGGGCAACCAGATTCAGTAAGAATGGTGATGTGCTTGGGAAGAGAAAGGAAAACCACTCAGACAGACCCTTTGTCATTGATGAGGTACTTTCCCTTAAAGGCAGTAATTAAAGGGGAATAACAGACAGTAAGATGGACACACATAGGCTTAGAAGGCACATGGAGTTTGTATCCAGGCTCTGGCTGTGTGACTTGGGTGAGCTGTTTGACCTCTCTGGGCCTCAGTTTTCTCATCTCTAAGATGGGGACAGTAGCACCTCCTAGGGTGTCGCAGAGTTACCAAGCCATCMCTGATGGATGTAGAGGAGCAACGGCTGGTCTTTTGGGAAATGGGGGTGCAGGTAAAATGAGGGTAGGATATACAAGACTGCCAAGTGTCCCTGACCATCAGGGGCTTTACAAAATGACCCAGAGCTTCACACTTGAAGAGTCTTTAATGTTTAACATTTATGCTGTATTCTCTTTCTTTCATTCCAGGTTTGGATTTTGGRAAAAAAAGTCTTCTGGCAGAGACCTGGAGCTTGCTAGTGTGATGTAGACCATCTCCTGCCACCCTGCCTCAGTGACTTTCGCTGGGAGTGGAGTGGCAGGTCCAGCTGGCCAGCCTCAGCATTCATCGATGTCACCCGTGGCAGGCTGCGAGGAACAGTGGCGGCCATGCCCTCCTCGGCCCCAGCGGCTCCTTCTCCCCCACACTAATCTGCATGGTGTGGGTGCCCCTGGGACCCCAGAGGACTGAACGTCTGATCTGGCTTCACACCCCCAGTAACAAGTCCCCCAAGATGTCGCTCGAGTGGCTGGTAGCCTGGGGTTGGTCACTGGACGGCCTCAGGGACTGCGTGGCCACCGGCATCCAGTCGGTGCGGGACTGCGACAGCACGGCCGTGGTCACCGTGGCCTGCCTGCTGGTCCTGTTCGTGTGGTACTGTTACCACGTGGGCAGGGAGCAGCCGCGGCCCTACGTGTCGGTGAACGCGCTCATGCAGGGCGCCGAGGCGCACGGGCTGCAGAATGGCTTCGCCTACTGCCAGGCGCCCGAGTGCGTGCGCTGCACCCACGAGGGCCTCAACCAGAAGCTCTACCACAACCTGCAGGAGTACGCCAAGCGCTACTCGTGGTCCGGCATGGGCCGCATCCACAAGGGCATCCGCGAGCAGGGCCGCTACCTCAGCAGCCGGCCCTCCATCCAGAAGCCCGAGGTCTTCTTCCTGCCCGACCTGCCCACCTCGCCCTACTTCTCCCGGGAMGCGCAGAAGCACGACGTGGAGCTGCTCGAGCGGAACTTCCAGACCGTCCTGTGCGAGTTCGAGGCCCTCTACAAGGCCTTCTCGAACTGCAGCCTCCCGCAGGGCTGGAAGCTCAACAGCACCCCCAGCGGGGAGTGGCTCACCTTTTACTTGGTCAATCAGGGGGTTTGCGTCCCCAGGAACTGCAGGAAGTGCCCACGGACGTACCGCTTGCTCGGAAGCCTTCGGACCTGTATTGGGAACAATGTTTTTGGAAATGCGTGCATCTCCGTGCTGAGCCCCGGGACTGTGATCACGGAGCACTACGGGCCCACGAACATCCGCATCCGGTGCCACTTAGGTAGGTGGCGGGGACAGGGGTCCGCGGCGTGCACGCGTGTAGTACGGCGCCTCTGCCGTCGGAGAAAGGAAACACCGCGAGAGCCAGACGTGTGCCTTAGGCTGAYGGTGCTTTTACCAAAGGTGGATGATCTTGTGTTAGTAGTTGGGACAGCAGCAGCTGAGTCCTGGAAGGAATTTGTCGTCACTGTGAACCTAGGGTTTTGTTCTTGTTTTTTTTTTTTTTGGGGGGGGGATTGAGCCTAGAGGTGCTTAACCACTGAACCGCATCCCCACCCCTTTTTATTTTTTGAGACAGGGTCTCTAAGTTGCTTAGGGCCTTGCTAGTTGCTAAGGCTGGTTTTGAAATTGTGATCCTCCTTTCTCAGCCTCCCATGTGGCTGGGATTACAGGTGTGCATCGCTGCACCGGGTCTAGTATAAACCTAATTATTATTATTTTTTATGGTTTTGGCAGTGGACTCAGGGCCTCAGATATGCTTAACACACACTCTAACATATGCCCTAAGCCAATGTCTGACAGACGCTCTGGCCAGAACTTTTTGCAGTGAGGAAAACRTTCTCCATCTTCATTGTCCAAAAGTATGTCCTAACCACCTTCGGCCCCAAGTGCTTGAACACGGCTGGAGTAACCGAAAGGTTCAATTTTTAACTGAACCAAGGGGTGCTCTACCGCTAAGCCACACCCTCATCCCTTTTTATTTTTTATTTTGAGTCAGGGTCTTGCTAAGTTGCTGAGGCTGACCTTGAACCTGCGATCCTCCTGCCCAAGCCCCCCCCCCCTCCAGTGGCTGGGATTGCAGGTGTGCATCACCATGCCTGGCTTGATTTCAGTTTTAATGGCCACATTTGGCCAGTGGCTACTGTCTCAGCCAACATAGCTCTAGAGCCAAAAGCTGTCACAAAGACCCTTGAGGTTCCTAGTGGCTTTAAGAGCCTGTGAAAGGTATGTTGGTGCTTCCTGATCATCAAGGAGGATGTGAGGCCTGGTGGGGAGTCCTGGGAGGTGGAAGTGTGTGTGTTCAGCAGTGGGGCAGGGGCTGGGGCAGGCCACCTGCACTGCAGCCGTCCCATGAGCTGGCTGCATATTTCACCTCTCTGAGCCTCCGCTTCCTCAGGTAGAAAGTGGAGGTCAAATGACGGTCCTCTGCAGAGCCAGCCTGACGCCCAGCCAGGGGATGTGTATCACAGAGCCTCTGCCATCAAGGCAGGCCTAACCACAGCTTGGTGAGTGGGGGTCTCAGTCCCCAGGATGCCTTRTTCCCAGTGGACTGTGACAGAGGCTGGCTCGGGGGCCGTGGATCAGTCGCTAGCCTCTCAGGCTGAAGTGAGCCGAGATGGACAGTAGTAGCTTTAGGAAGGGACCACATGGCTTGGGCTTCAGAGGGGACAAGGAAAAGCGGAGTGGGGTTTCCTGAGTGTGCTCTGCAGGGGACCACGCTGGAGCTGCCCCCGGGAGCCCCCTGCAGCATCCCTGCTCCCCGCCCTCTGGGTGGGGACTCACTCTAGAAGACGCTGCTCCTAAGCTCCAGAGAAGAAAGGTCTAGACAGAGCCCTGGACGTGGTGGGGATTTCAAGAGCCAGGGTTGGGCAGGGGAGCTCCTGAGCCATGGTCTCGAGTCACGGTCAGCTGTGAGACTGGGTCTCCCTGGGCCCCAGAGTCCCCCCTGCAAAATGGAGAAGTCGGACTTACCTCCCAGGATGGCCGAGAGGATTGAAGGAGTGACATCCTGCTTGGCCACCCGGGACGGTGCCTGGCACACGTGGCTAAATGCTAGGTGGTAGCTGTCATGGTCAACCTGGTGTTGGAGGGTGTGAGAAATGACCCGCAAGATGTGGTCACTGCCCTTGGGACATGGCAGATGAATGGCTTAGGGAACAAGCAGATCTGAACCCAGGCCTGGCCCCCTTCCCGGTGCCCTTGGGCAGGCCCAGGGCTAAGCCTGTTCCCCCTCTGTGCTGGGCGGAGCCGCCTCCCTGCAGGGCTACTCTAGCATCGGGCATACACCTTGGCAGGAGGGGCCAAGCAGGTCATCTATGTGGCATGACGCTAAGCCAAGGGACGACGTGGTCAGTGAACCACTGGGCAGGGCTCCAGGCGCTCCGAGCTGTTGGAGGGAGCTGGCGCTGCAGGCAGGCTCTGGGCAGGCGCAGGGGGTGGGGGCTGACCTGAGGGCGGAGGGGGCCTGCTGGGCTGAGTGCGGGCGCGGCCCTTCCTGGAACTCGGGCCGCCATGGCCAGGTGAGCTGTGGGCCAGGCAGCCAGAGGCCTCAGGCCAGCTGGGCATCGTGCTGTTGAGGGGTGCTGGGGATGGGACCCAGGGTCCCAGGGGGAGGGCAGGCAGAGGCCCTGCAGGCAAATGTGGTGAAGTGCCAGGCTGATGCCGCCACCAAGGACGGGTAGCAAAGAAGTCCCCGTCACTACYGCCCCACCCCCGTGTGCCAGCGCCCCCCCGCCCCGCACAGTGGACATCAGTGTAGAACAGGACTTCAGGCCCTGGGCATGGCCCTCCTAGGCCCAGCTAGTACTCGCAACAAAAGGGGGTCCTCCTGTCCCCRCACAAGGTGTGGCTGGGTCCCCAGGGCCAAGGCCACCTCCACGGCCAGGTTCCCCCACGTGCTCCTCACGCAACCAGGCCCACGTTGAGATGCACCCCGTGACTTTGTGTGTTGGCCGAGCGGGTCCCCTCCTGCGGGTCCCCTCCTACAGCCACACTGGTGCCCGCTGTCCCAGCTGAAGGGAAGGAAGCACACAGTCCTGGGCCTCTGCTCTGTGGAGCGCTACGCCCTGCCGTGAGCTCCCTCTGGCTGTCGCTCCATGCTGACCACTCTGGGCCCACCGTCACCCCTGTGGGGCAGGCTGTGACAGGTCCCTGTACTGAGGCCCACTCAGGGAGCAGCTCTAGACCCCGACTCACCAGGCAGATRTCCAGGAGTCGCTGGAGAAGACCAGAGTGTGCACAGCCACCCCGGGCACAGGGAGGCCCTCCTGTCACTGTGGGTGTGGACGGTGCCCAGCCGTCCAACGGGAGGGGCCGGAGGACCAGCCTGTGTTCCCTGCCCCCTCCCAGTTGCTGGCCACCACCTCCTGAAGCAGGGGCTGCTGGGGGGACAGTTCCCCGGTGTCTTCCTGCTTCCGTCAGGGTCGGTGGGACAAAGGAGCAAACTCGAGGCCACCGAGGATCCTGGGACGGGCGGGACTGTCCAAGGCCACGCAGGGCCCCTCTGTCCCCCAAGGGCCTCCCAAATGCTCTGGGAGGAGTCTTCCTCGTTTGTGCCCCCCGGGCTGGTTGATGGGCGGAGGGCAGGAGGCCGGGGAGTGAGGTCAGGGGAGGCCGCGGTCAGCCAGCCGCACCCCGCTGCCCTGGCGCAGCAGCAGTGAGTCCTGGAGGGGCCAGAGAAAGGGGAGCCTCCTTCCGAACCCCTGGGTGGACTGACCCTGCGGAGAGTTCCCTCATCCCAAAGCCTTCGCAAGCAGCAGAGCGACCCCAGCTGAGCCGCTGAGCACCGTCCAGAGACGGACTGTTGGCAGTTTGAACATGGAGACCACAGCCGTGAGCAGAGACCTCCGTGTAGCTGCTTGTGACCTGTGACTGTCATCTTATCAAAGTGTCCAGTAGCTACTCTTTTTGGGTTCAAAACAGATCAGCCCCAGCAAGGGCCAAATAGTAACTTTTCAGCAGATCCAGTCACCGCTCCATTACTCCTAGAGTGATACGGTGGCCTCTGCGCAGTGTTTATGTGGCCCAGACCTGCGCAGTCAACCTTCAGTTACTGGTAACAAGGCTGCATAGCAGCCTTGGAAGGCACATATACTAATGTCCCCTTTTCACAGATGAGGATGGTGAGGCTCAGAGAGGTTGAGTGGCTGGCCCAGAGTCACACAGCACAGACAGGTCCGAGCTCATCATCTGTCCCAAGTCGTCTGTCCTTCCTACACCTCCATGTGGTCTCCTCCAAGAGCCATCCACTTTGGCTTAAAGAGTACATAAAAATACTCCAGTTGCCAGAGAGAAAGAGAGTATGTTTTTGTCATAAGGACCCTGGATCCAGAGGGCATGCTGACTTGCTCAGGGTCACCCTTAGCCTAGTGCATCACTGAAGACAGATGGAGCCACCACTGACCCGCCCCCTCCCAGGGCCTCCTCCCGTGCCCTTCCTGAGCTGTCAGGCTGACCCACCCCCTGAGGAAGCCATCAGGCAGCTGTGACAGTACCTTTCTTTGTGGCAGCTGAGATGGTGGCAGCAGCCAAGTGTCTCGGCTGAGGCTGGGAATGGGGACGTGAAGGCCAGTGGTGTCCCCAAGGGATGGCCCTGGCTCGGCCTCACCGATGTCTCCAGAACCTGGCTCCTTGCGAGGGTGCCCACCCGTGCCCTCCTGAGGCCCAGCACTTCCTTGGGTGGCCTCCAGGTTGCAGGAGGAGGCCAGGAACCACACAGAGCCTCCACCCTGGGCCTCAGAATGGGTTAGAAGGTGGAATTCAAAGAGGCGAGCCCCTCGTAGGCCGCAGGCAGTTCATCGCAACTAGAAAGCCCAGGGGACAGGACTGTGGTGACAGCTGTGGACGGTGGTCTGGCTGGCCTTCACTCTCTGCTTTCCCACAAGGGCTCAAGACTCCGAGCAGCTGTGAGCTGGTGGTGGGGGGCGAGCCCCAGTGCTGGGCCGAGGGCCGCTGCCTGCTCTTCGACGACTCCTTCCTRCACACCGCGTTCCACGAAGGTGGGTCCCCCCCACGTCGTTTTGTTTTTAACAGATTTTATTTTTTTGCCGCGTGCATGGGAAGCRCCCCTGGATCTCAGAAGGCGGCAGGTCCCTCTGCCCTGTGGTCACTGTAAGTGGAAGACCTTCAGCTTGTATTTCCTTAGATTTCTTTTTTCTTTCTTCCTTTCAGTCGTTTGCCTCTGAGATTCCTTTCTGGCCACCTAGTGCGTCCCTCTGGCTCCGTGACCAGAAAATGGTACCAGGGATTGAACTCGGGGCCCTCGACCACGGAGCCCCCGCCCCAGCCCTCTTCTGTGTTTTATTTAGCGACAGGGTCTCCCTGAGTTGCTTAGGACCTCCCTTTTGCTGAGGCTGGTTTTGAACTCGCGATCCTCCTGCCTCAGCCTCCCGAACCACTGTGACAGGCGGGCACCACAGCGCCCTGGCAGATTTTAGTTCTTAAAGAAATTTTAGGGGGCTGAGGCTGGGGTTCAGTGATAGATCACTGGCCTCACAAGTGCGAGGCCCTGGGTTTGATCCTCAGCACCACATAAAAATAAATAAATAAAATAAAGGTATTGTGTCCAACTACAACTAAAAAATAAATATTAAAAAAAAAAGTTTTAGGTTTCCCGAAAAAAACTGAGCAGAAAGTACCAAACATGCTCCTTCGCATCCCGGCCCCCAGCTGCCCGCGGCCACAGCGTCCCCAGCAGATCTGGACGCGTTATTACCTAAGTCTGAGCTCAAGTCTGGGCTTGCTCTTGGTGTGGCTTTGGACAGAGGGGACAGTGTCGTACCCAGTGGTTCCACTGCTGAAGAACAGSGCTTGTCCCCGCCTGGCCAGCTGCCCTGCAGTCCACCCGCTCAGAGGAGGGAGGTGTTGTGAGCCAGGCCAGGGACAGCACAGGTCCCCAGCCCAGAGCATGCAGGGTCGGGCCCTGCCACACCTGGGTCCTGGCCACAGGCCACCAACCTCTCCTCTGTCCCCCTCCCCACAGGGTCGGCAGAGGATGGCCCCCGGGTGGTCTTCATGGTGGACTTATGGCATCCGAACGTGGCAGCAGCCGAGCGGCAGGCCCTTGACTTCATCTTCGCTCCTGGGCGATGAGGACACCTCCCCGCTGGAGCGGCCAGGGGGGCTGGGGCACACCTGAGCGGACCCGGGACAGTGCGCCCACCGCGGCCACAGGCCACGCTCAGCACCTGCCTCCCGGGAAGCGCCCTGGGATCTCGGAGGGCGTGGTCCCTCTGCCACGTGGTCACTGTAAATGGAGCCTGCAGCTTGTGTTTCCTTAGGTTTCTTTTCTCCTCCTTCCTTCCAATTGTCGCTTCTGAGATTCCTTTCTGGCCAGCTAGTGCGTCCCCTGGGCCYGTGACCAGGGACACGGTGCCTCTGTGAGTCCGTCTGTCGCGTCGCCCCTTGGTTTCTACGTGTTTTCAAACAGAGTAACCAAACGGCCACTGTCCGGCTGTCGGACACGAAGCTGCTCGTGGTCACCTCCAGGCAAAGCAGACCTGCCAGCCAGCCACGCGGCCACTTTGCTGGCACATGGAGGACCCTTCGGCCACCCAGGGCAGGGGACAGTCTGAGGTCTCTGCACCTGGCTGGCTCTGGTGGCAGGGAGCAGGGCTGCAGGCCTCCCCAGGGGTGGTGTCCAGGGTCGGGGAACTGTGGCCACTGTCCTCTTGCCCAAAGCCGTCAGTTCCCTGCAGGGACCGGCCCTCTGCTGGTGGCTTCCTCCAAAGCTGAGGCTGGGGTCCTCCAGAGCTGGGCCGGGCTCCTGGGCCAGCCGCGGCCACTCACCTCACTGCCCACAGATGCCCACTGCCAGGCCAGGCCGGGCACAGCCCCTCAGTGTCTGGAGTCCGGGGTGGTCCAGGGCAGGGCCAGGCTGCCTGCGGGGGAGGCTCACCACCCGACTCCCACCAGGGCTGTCCCCGAGGGTGGCAGTGCCAGCTCTGACCAAAGCGTCCCTTTTGACCTGGAGTCTGTACCCATGATTCTCTCCGTTTGTTCGCGAAAGTTCCAGCGCATCTCAGAGGCTGCGGGGGCCGCCGTGTGCCTTGCTGTCCCGCGAGGCTGCGCGCCCAGCGAAGGTGACCAGGGCCAGCGTGGGTGAGGGCGCAGGGAGGCCTGCAGATCCCAAGACCCAGGGCACTGCACCAGCTGGGTGGCCTCCTGTGAAGACATGTCCGCCCATAGGAGAGGCCCCGGGGGCCTGGGTCTCGAAACAGCTTCCCTTAGCTGAGAGCCGAGGGGAGCCACACGAGAGGGACCTTGTGGGGACAGTGTCCCCGGGGCAGTGGAGGTCCACGCAGCACAGCAGTCGGGTGGGGCACACGGCTCTGGCGCGGGGCCTGTTGGTGTCCTAATGGGAACTGAGGCACCTGGGAGGGGCCGGTGCGAGAAGCCAGGATCTGAAGCGCTGGGTATCACTGGCCATGTGTGAAGAGGACAYGTCTGTGGCGGGCGAGGGGAACACAGGAGGCAGGGTTGTCACCCGGAGGCCCCGTGCCTGTCACGTGTCTCGTCAGAGAACCGCCGAGGTGCATGACCCCACACGAGCCGACCTTCCTGCTCCAGTTTACAAACCAACAGCCACACGGGCACCTGGCTACCTGGACCCCTGTCATGGTCGGGGACAGAGATAAATAAAGGATCTTGCTGAAAACCAGAGTGACGTGGTGACGTCGTCTGTGGGGAGGAAGAGGAGGCTGGTGTGAGCCCAAGGGACGGGCGCCCCTGGTTATTGAACCATGTCACAGAGGTGGGGGGGCTGCCGCAGTGGGCGGACAGAGTGGCCCAAGCAACGGTCCTTCCGAGATCAGGGGTGGGGAAGCCCATCTCCAGAACGCCAAGAGCTACAGCTGTCACCTGGGCAGGGCACAGGGACGCTGGCTTCAGCCCAGCTGGGCATCAGGGCTGGGTGGCAGGAGGCACTCCCTGTCACCTGGCAAGTCACTTACCCAGTCTGCCCCCTGAAGAGACAGTACCTGCCCTTAAAGGGCCAGCGCTGGTTCCTCCCTGCAGTACCAAGGACACCTGGTAGAGAAGCAGCCCGTGTGTCCTAAAGCGGGCAGCGGGGACTGGTGGCCAGGAGCCCCGGGAGCTGCCCAACCACCAGGTGTTCCGCACTCAAGCCCAGCTCCAGCCAGATGAGTCCCCAGGTGCCACAGCAAGCAGAAGGGAAGAGTGCCCGCCGCCTGGGGCCCTGGTGTTCTCACCTCCCATGTGTGTGCCACCAGTCACAGCTGCTAAGGTGACCTCCGTGTCTCGCGGGGACACCGGGGTGGGGAGGGGGCCTGGCTGCCCTGCAGAGGGGACCCCACCTCCCAGGACAGCAGCGGCCTGGGAGCGCCCTTCAGGCCCTGCGGTCCGGCAGGACCAGCCCCTTGTCCACGCAAGGTCGCCCCAGGTCCCCCGACCCAGTGGGCCCTGAACTCTTCTCCCAGAGGTGCCTGTTCGTCATCTCCCAGAGTCACCTACATCCTCCGTGTTTGGTGCCACTGAGCAAATTAATGGCATCGAGTGCCTACAACATGGAGCAGGGGAGAGGCAGGGTGGCCCTGTGGCCTGGCTCTGGACGCTGCTGCACAGGAAGCCACCGGGAGCTTTGAGACACACTGTGCCCCCCACCGCCCTGCGTGCCAGGGCACCTTCCCTGGGGGGGGATACCAGGGGTTGAAACTAGGGGCCTCTTCAGGGTGGCCCCTGGCAGCAGGCTGCCCTGTGACTCGTTTCCTGTCACGTTCTAACGTGCAGCTGGGGCTGAGGGGCTCTGCTCTGAAGGGCCAGGATGGGAAGGTCTTGGAAACAAGCTGGCTGGAGAGTGGCATCGGCTCTGTCCCCATGTGGCCCTGGGCACCTGAACCCAGCTTCTAAAGGGACAGCTGTGGGKTTTTTTTTGAGGGGGGGAATACCCAGGATTGAACTCAGGGGCACTCGACCACTGAGCCTCACCCCCAGCCCTATTTTCTATTTAGAGACAGGGTCTCACTGAGTTGCTTAGGGCCTCACCATTGCTGAGGCTGGTTTGAACTCTTGATCCTCCTGCTTCAGCCTCCTGAGCCACTGGGATGACAGGCATGCGCCACCACACCCGGCTCCCTTTTTATTCTTGAGCCAAGCTTGAGTTGTGCTTTCTATCCGTAGCCACCAAGACGTCCTCCTCCACTGCACGCCTCGTCTGTGGGGCCTGGCGCCTGCTCTCAGAGGCGCAGCGTGAGATTCGAACAGAACAACCATCAGGCAGGTTCTGGGAGGGGGGGAGGGACTGCACGTGTGTGTTAGACACAAGGAGGAAGAGCCCAAGCCAAGTCCCCTGTGCTGTTCTCAGGACCATCTCGCCGGCTCTGCARCCTTCCCTGACATTGGCCTCCTCGCTGACCTGCTGACCCATGTAAATGCAGGAACAGGACAGAAAAYGGCCACACCTTACAGAGGTGCCGACAGAAGGCATGACAACCCTCAAGCAGACTATGGCATTAGGTGGCAGGAGAGGAGGACTGGGGACTTCTGCCTCCTTCCCAGGTGTCCTGTCGGTCCTCGTCCCTGCCTCCCCGCCCTGCTTCTGCTCCCCACGCCCTGTATTTGAACCACCCCAGGTTCATGGAGTGCTTTCTCCAAGCACAGAGAGCATGCCCCATGAGGGTCCTTCTGCATCATGCCATTAGATCCTTGTGGCCCGGACAGGGAGAGTCACACACCCTTAACACACGAGGAAGCCAGGCTCAGCGTGAGCAGTCACTGGGAACAGAGCCTGTGGCSGGCGGGAGCTGGAATGAGAAGCCAGTGATCCGAGCCTCTGTCCACAGGTTCCTCGTCAGATTCAACCTACCTGGGTCAAAACTATTCTGGAAAAAAAACTGTACTGACTTCTTGTCATTGTTCTTTAAACAACACAGGCCACGACTGTTCACCCAGCGTTGACACTGCGTTAGTTGTTGTGAGTTAGAGATGGCTTGAAGCACACAGGGGGCTGTGTGACCCCTGTGCTGGAAGTGACTTGCATGTCCCTGGGTTTTGGTATCCACTGGGGTCTTGGAACCAGTTACCCGTGGAGACCGAGAGAGGGCTGCCCACCAGGTTCTGGACATCTACCTGACACTGGGTGGGGACGGTGGTCTGCCTTCTCAGGACACTCCTGACACTCCTCTACTGAGGGTCCACAAGAAACCAAGCCCCTTGTTTTATCAAAGAGGACACAAGGGTCAGAGAAATAAAGTGACCGACCCTGATTTCCACGGCAGTAAGGTGCGGAGCTGCGATTTGGACCCAGTTCTGGGACACCAAAGCCTGCGTGATCCAGGAGGGACAGCCCCTGGCAGCAGCCCTGCAGACCTCGGGGGAAGGAAGCGCCTCCAATCTGTACCTGCCACCTGCCCACAGGGCTCTGGCCAGGACCCAGGCCTTTGCCTGGGAGTGCTCTTCCCAGCCACCAGGATGGCGGGACAGGGGGAAGGGCTGCCTCTCGCCCTGCTTCTCTCTCAGGAGCCAGCGTCCCTTCTGCTGAAACCACACCAAGCCACCCAAGCTTAAAGTCTTCTCCTGGCCCAGACCTTGCAGCCCTGCATGGCCCTTCGTGGGGGCCACCTCTCCCACTCCCCGCACTGCCCTCTGGAAGGACGGGCGCCTGGAATCACCAGCACCAGTATTGCATTTGCAGGCGGGTGTATTAGTTTCCTTGGCTGCTGTAACAAATGATCTCAGTGTCTTAAAGCAAACGAGATTCATTGTCACGGTTCTGGAGGCTGGACGTCCAAGATCGGTCTCACTGGACCTCATTCCACGTGTTCATAGTCACATACCCACCTTCTGCGGGCTCCAGGGTCCATTCCTTACCTTTCCCAGCCTCCAGTGGCTGCGGGCTTCCTGACAACCTCCACCAAGAGAAACACCAGCGAGGGTGACTTCAACAAGGACCCCAGTCTCGCTGGGCACCACGGTGCACACCTGTAATCCCAGCTTGGGAGGCAGAAGGATAAAAAGTTTGAGGCCAGCCTCACAACTTAGCGAGGCCCTAAGGAACTTGCTGAAACCCTGTCTCTAAATAAAAAGTAAAAAGGGCCGGGGATGTGGTTCAGGGGTCAAGCCCTCCTGGGTTCAATCCTGGTACAAAAAAAAAAATGCCAGTCTCCTTTAGCTACCACACTGTCTGTCACTGTCACTGTGGTGGTGGCAGGAGTACTGGATGCCTAGATGCTTCCTCCGGGGGGAGAGGCAGCTTGACTAGGTGCCAGTGTTTCCCTAGGGAACAAAGGGCCTTTCCCAGTGGGAATCCGAAGGCCACTATTCATCTCTCCCAGGAACTTGAGTCCCACAGTGCACAAGGGCAGGAACCCTGCAGGGACTGACCCCATCAGAGCCTCCTGCTCCCCCCCCTCCCATGGCTTCTGCAGGCTCTACAGCAGCATTCTAGATTGTGAGGCCAGTGAAGCCAGCGTGGACCGTCCCACACAGGCCACCTGCCCCGCCGCCACAGGAGGGCGGGCGGACGGGCGGGCGGTGCTCCTGCTGCAGGAACATGCAGTGTGGCCCCCAGGGTCTCTGCTCTGGGGCATCTCACTCATTTTGAGGGCGTGGGCCTGTGGCTGTCGCTCAGAGCCCCAGATGCCTGAGACATTGGACAGGAAGCTGGGGGTTGGGCATTCTTTTTCCTGCCACTTCTAAGCCACTGTCACCTAGCCTTGGCGATAACGCTGCAGCTCCCTGACCTCTGGGGCTCTGGGCACAGGACAGAGGCTCCGTGGCTGCCTGTGCTGGGACCTCAACCCCAGGAGGGTGGGCTTCGGGGGCCTTTCCATACCCACAGGCCGCCTGCCTGAGGCTCTGTTGGCAAAGGGTTACCACACAGGAGGCACCGTGGGCCTGTCTCACACTGGGGGCCACTCCCGGGTTACTAAATCAGCACTGGTGTGAGGGGGTGCCCTTTCTTCCCACTCCCACCCTTCCCTAGGACCAGGGAGGGATTCTCCCCCAGCATCCCTTCCCCACGCCGCTCTGACCCAGGGCTCCCGGCAGGCCACAGGCACCTGTCCCCAAGAAGCTGGGCATGGCGGGCCCAGGTAACTGGCAGCAGGAGACAGCTGGGCCTCTGGGAGGAAGCCCACTCTGAGGAGGGGGGTGAGTGGAAAGCCACCAGAGCAGGTCCCAGAGGGAGGCAAGGGGGACCAGCTGCCCATCCGTACCAGCTCTGTCTGGGCCTTGTGGAAGACGCGGGCGAGCTCACAATTTGTGGCTGTCCAGCCCGGGTCTGCGAGGAGGAACCGTAGGTAGCTGGGATCCCAACTGAAGCTCTGAGCCCAGGGTGATGAGCAGCGTGGCTGGGTGGGGGGGAGGTCCCTGCCCTACAACTGGAACCCGGACAGGTGTGTGGAGATAGGCGTGCATGTGTGTCCTTGACCTGCTGTGCCACGTTACAACAGGGGCTTCAAGTGCATGTATTACACCTCAATTTCTGTAGGTCGGGACAGTGGCTTGGGTTGGCATTCTGGGGGCTGCACGGGGCTGGACGATGTGCTTGCAGCAGGTTCACGGGGCGGCTGGCCCACTCAGGCACAGGCCTGCCTCAGGACGGCCCAGGGGGGCCTCTGCGGTCCTCGCACTTCAGTGCACCCTTTGTGATCAGGACTCGGCTTTGGGGTGGGCCTTCACGGGAAGCCCTGGCTGCCTGCTGTCCTGCTTTCTAAGAAACGGATGCATTTTGTATCCAAAGCAGCCTGTGGAATTGGGTGAGAAGGGAGGTTTGTGAAGTTAAGACTGGGACCCGAGGCTGGCTGGGTGGCTGGGTGGCTGACATTCAGCCCCGGGCAAGGGGCAGCCAAGGACATTCTTAGGAAGCACGGCTTGCTTGGAGGCCATGAGATGGCTCTGGACTCTTGACTTCCGCCACATAACACTGTAACAGGTCGTGATTTCACCAAGTTGGAGACTGGGTTCCAAGTCCCAGAGGCTCCATTAGCAAAAGGAAGAGCAAGGCTGCTCCTGAGCGCCCCCGCCAGGAAAGGCAGGAACTGCAGCCAAGTTTGCTGTGGGGCGTGCACGAGGGGCAGGCATGGAAACAGGAGTGAAACCCCAGCAGAGGACAGTGCGAGTTTATCCTAGTTCGAGGCAGCAGCCTCCTCTATCACCTGCAGTGGCGGGAGGGACCCTAGGGAGAGGAGGTGACGTGGGCCTAAGGAGCTGGCACTCACAGGCGCAGAGGCCGCAGCTCCTCCCCGGCAGAGGGCTGGTCCCTGCGCATGGGTCCTTTCCTGGCCACAAGGATCGCAGGGAAGGAAAAGCACAGGCACAGCAGAGACCACGGCTGCCCCTGTGCTCACGGGGCGGCCACCTGTGGATTCAACCAACCACACATCAAAGTCACCTGGAGAAACAGTCCTGTCCACACTGAGCAAGGGCAGGCCCTCCTCGTCGTCAGCCCCTCACTATGCAGGGTGACGGTGTCCTCGGCACTCACGCAGGTTTGCGAGAACCCCAGAGGTGACCAGAGCATGCAGGAGGACGAGCGTGGGTTGTAAGGGACTCAGTGTCCTAAACTGGAACATGATGGGGGCTCTGGGAGCCACGCCGACACCGGGGGGTGCCGTGTGCATACACCTCACATGAACACGGTGGAGCTCACCTGAACTGCCACTAGAAATGTCACTCTTCAGCCACTGACAACTCTTTGACATGTGTTTTATTTTTAGCCCTTGGAAACTTGTTTCAAGAAAAGACAACAGGTCATCGACACCACTGCTCCCAACGTGACTTGCTCCACCAGGAGTCCTAAGGGCATCTCGGTGTTTCCAGCAAACCTGGACAGCTCTGACCCGTGTCCTGGACCCCAGCGCCTGACCACCTTGCAGGGGCTCTGCCAGGGGAAGGTCCACTCTCCCCCTCACAGCTGCTGGGAACTCGGTCTTGCTTTGCCCCGAGGTCATGGGAACTCCCGTTGGGGACACCAACGGAAGGAAGCAGCCACAGAGCTGCAAGGTTGGTCCTGCTGTCCCTGCCCTTCCCTTCTCCATTGTGGATCTTCTGAAGTGCCACCTGCCGTCGGGGCTCCTCTGGCACCGTCAGACTGAGGACCAGCGCAGGGCTTTGCGCAGCCCCCTCCAGGGAGCCCCTCCCCGCCTGCAGCCCCTCCCTGGAGGAGGGCGAGACCTGAGAAATGAGGGGGACAGCTGGTAACAGACCCCCCCTCCTCATCGGGACACCTCACCCTGCCCACCTTGTGATGGGGTTGAACAAACACCCTGGACTGGGGACAATTAGGTTCTAGAACACAATGCCAACTTAGACTGCAGCACCCTTCAGGCTGGGATGAACAGAAGCAGGGACATCAAAAGCCTCCGGCCCAGGGTGACAGGGAAACAACCAACCCTGAGCTTCTTTGGTACAAGGACCTAGCAGCCATCCTGGCCCCATGTGGCCAAAGAGGGCGCTTACCAAACTGCGCCACGTCTGCAGACCCCGAGGACCCCCATTTACCCACAGCCCAGGCTGGGAAAGGAGTGGCACTCGGGGCCCCTTCCCTGGAACGGGGCACTCCACGAGAAGCAGACGGCGCAGGCCTCACTGAGGGCAGAGCTCCCCTTGCTGGCGCTGTTCAAGGTCACTGCTCCTCAGACCCTGTGGCTGTGGACACAGTTCAGAGCAAGTTCACCCCGTGCTTCAGCAGCTTCTGCCTGGCTCGGCCGGGGAGGCTGAAGGCGCTGTCCTCGGGGCTGGGGAAGCCGGAGCTCCGGGCCACGGCTGCCAGAGGCTGGAAGTAGGTCTCCTGGGCGGGGGTGCAGCAGGCGAACACGGCGGTGGAGGCGTTCCTGGGGAAGGAGGAGAAGCAGCCGGTGGTGCCCTGGGCCTCGCAGCCCACACAGGGCCCACCCAGTGGTTGGGGTGTCAATGATGTGGGTTGGGACTCTGTTCACTTGAGTTACAGGCCTCAGTGTCAATGACCGTCTTCCCTTCTCTCAACTCCCAGGGGGCTGGGACAGTCCACGGCAGCCGGGAAGGGCTGCACCCAGGGCCAGCAGGAGCAGCTATGGACTCAAGCAGAAGGGCGGCCTCCCTGCGGCCCTCGGCCGTTCCCAGAGCCTCTGCTCACTCCCCAAGTCAGCCTTGGGAGTGGCAGGACTGTCCCCCTGGACACCTGGCGCAGGGGCCCAGCTGCCCTCCTTTCCAGTGATGCAATGGCAGCATAGGAGGAAGGTGGGAGGACCTAGGGAAGGCCAGATGGGCTGGGGGAGCGTGGTTACAGGATAGGGGGATGTGACAGCGGCAGCAGGAAACCTGGGGACACAGAAGAGGAGGGACAGGGGCACAACACAGAGGAGGCCCCATTGGTGACCCCCTGGCTCCTGCTTCCTTCCATGTCAACCTAGTTCCTCACTGGCCTGTCTCCCCAGATCCATCATGAAGGGGAGGCTCAGGGCTCATGGGCTCCCTCCTCTGGCTCCTCCCGCGGCGACCCCAGGGGCCTGAGGGAGCCGGGGAGTCTTGGCCTCTGTGGAAGGGCAGTGTGGGCGCCTCACGGCTGTGAGAGGCACTGAGGCCTGGCAGGTACAACGGGGCCTGATCACACACACCTGGCGCTGATCCCAGCCCCGCTGCTCCCTGGCTGTGTGCCCTGTGCTGAGACCACCTTTCTGAGTCCTCGCTCTCCTGTGCACCAAGGACACGGCCTCCCCACACAGAGGGTGTTTTAAAGGTCACATGGTAGAAATACAGACGTGAATTTCTCAGCACACAGCGAGTGTTCAAGACAGGCGGCTGCTGCCCCCATCAGCAGGAAGACCACCTCCCAGCGTCTGACGTTACAGCGTCAAGGCCCTCTTGGCTCCAAGGCAGGTGGCATGTTGCAGCCCCCAGCAGCTGGTGGAGCAGATGCTGACATTTCACTCATTGCCACCTCCCACGGAACGTCACACGCCCCAGCACAAGCAGGTCCCAGCCACTGACTGCAGATGCAGATCACATCCAGGTGGCCCGTGGGGCAGCCCTGAGCTACAGCAGGAAGACGCACTAGGGTGGGAAGACAGAAACGCCAGCCCAGCGGCACCAGGCAGGGAAATACCTGGTGCTCAAGCAAGGCATAAGATGGTTACGTCATCCCTGCCAAGAAACCTGTGCCTCGGTGGGCCCAGGGCCCATGGCCCCACCTGCCCACAGCTGAAACCTGAGGGGAACAACGTGCACTTCAGAATCATAAGTTCAAATCCAAGCCCCGCCACTGCGGTAAGTGGCTGATCTTATATGTGCTTTAACTTCCTCATCTGCAAAATGGGGGAAAAGCCAGCATGGTGGCACACGCTGGTTATCCCAGTGGCCTGGGAGTCTGAGGCAGGAGGATTACAAGTTCAAGGCCAGCCTTAGTAATTTAGTGAGACCTCAGCAATTTACAAAGCCTTGCCTCCAATTTAAAAAATAAAAAATAAAAGGGGCTAGCATGTAGCTCAGTGGTAGAGCCCCCCTGGGTCCAAGCCACAATACTACACACAGAAAAGACAATACAAAAATGACCCAAATCATTACAAGGCACTCCCACTCTGACCCTCTCACCTGCCTTGTTTCCTGCTTACAGTTTCCTAACAGAAGCTCGTAGAAAGGAAAAACAATTAGGTTGCCTCACACTGCAAATTACAATAATTGGCAGACTGTTTCTACCGGCAGGGGTGTGCTCAAGAGGTGTGACCATGAGAAACAGCAACCAGGAAACAGTGCACTAGGAGGACACTATTTCCTAGAAGGATACTAACGCATTTAAAATAAAAATAAAACTGCAGTAACACACTAAACTCAGAAATGCGGTTATTTCTTGGGTGTGTGACGGCTGAGGGAGAAAGCACACATCACAGGTCTCTAAGAAGTTGACGTGCTTATTATTATTATTATTGTTATTATTTTGGTACCAGGGACTGAACCCAGGGGCACTGACCACTCAGCCACATCCCAGCCTTTTATATTTTTATTTAGAGACAGGGTCTCACTTAGTTGTTTAGAGCCTCCTTAAGTTGCTGAGGCTGGCTTTGAACTTGAGATCCTCCTGCCTCAGCCTCCCGAGATGCTGGGATTATAGGTGTGTGCCAAGTGGCCAACTATGAATGCTTTTATCGCTGTTTTTTTTTTAATATTTATTTTTAAATTTTAGGTGGACACAATATCTTTATTTTACATTTATGTGGTGCTGAGGATAGAACCCAGTGCCTCATGCATGCTAGGCGAGTGCTCTACCACTGAGCCTCAACCCAGCCCCTATCGTTTTTTGCTTTTTTGTTTTTTTTTAAATTAGGAAGAGAGCAACACTATTTCAATACCACTTGTGGCCAGCGAACAGCCAGTCTCCTCCCTAGGAACAGGCACAGAACCATGACAGGGAGGGACCCAGGAAAGCCCTATCACGTGACTGCCTGGGAATAGAGGTGGCAGCGATGGAACAGGTAAAGGGAGCCCTTGAAGAGAGTAATCAGGATGGGCTTCCGGGGGTGAGGTGCTCTGGGGCATGGGGAGGCTCACCTGGCGGTCATTTCGTACAGCGCAGGCAGCCGGGCAAAATCCGAGTGCATGAGGCTGACGGCCTGGAGGAAGCGGCGGTCCTGGGGGGTGGCCGCCTGTGGCAGGTTCGCTGGCAGGAGAGGACAGAGATGGTGAAGAGCAGACCCCTCCTCCCGTGGCCCTAAGTCCTGTGCGGGACCTGAGTGGTGCCGGGCTCGGGCCGTGACGGGGGCGGGGACCAGGTGCAGGGGGCGGGCCTAACCGGCTCCTACACAGAGATCCAAAACTGTGGGGTAGACCTCAGAGACACCTGCCCAAGTGCAACGCCTCTCAAAATGAGAAACCACCAGCCCCCCTCCCCCCTTCCAAAAAAAAAAAAGGACAAGCAAGGGAAGGAGTGTTTGCCAGGTGAGCCTGGCACCTCACCTGCCACCGCAGGTCCCAGGGCTGCGCACCCTGGAGGGGCCCCATCTCGCCAGCCCGCCGGAGGCCCTTACCGGAGAGCACGCTCTGGACGCGGTCGTAGTGCGTGAAGGTGTAGGTGCTGCGGGCGGGGCCCGCCTCCTCGGCCGGCAGCGTCTCCTCCAGGTGCACCTCCAGCCCGTTCAGGGACGCCAGGCTGCTGCGGTACTGCAGGGGGCGGGGAGAGGCCGGGGCTGCAGGGACCACGGGCGGCCGGCAGGGCCTTGGGTTTGCCCAGGACTTGGTTTAAAATTCATCCTGCCAGGAGCTCCCAGCGGTTGCCTGATTAGGCAAAAATGAACTCTGAGCGGCGCTTTAGCGGCTTTTAAGGAAGTACTTGCACCCTATGTTCTGATGTTTAAAAGGATCATATTGTGGAAAAATAGGAAAGGAAAAGTGAGTAAAAAGGAATTTAAAAAGAAAAAACAGCAGAGAAAAACTGCTCATGTGGGGTGGGGCTCAGCGGTAGAGCGCTTGCCCAGCAGCCCAGCACGTGCGAAGCTCTGGGTTCCCTCATCAGCGCCGCATAAAAATAAATGAAGGTATTGTGTCCCACTAAACTTAACAAGTTAGCTGCTCATGATCTCACTAGTCCTCAACCCCCGCGAATGCCCCCCCCCSACCTCCCTCCGCGCGTCTCCCACTGGCGACTCCCAGGGGTCCTTAATATAAACGGCCTGGGACCACTAGCGGGAGATTCTCAGGTGGCCTTGTGGAGTCCCACAGTGGGCACAGGGAGCTAAGTACTCTGGTGCCTCCAGAATGTGCCACTCCCAGAAAGGCTGACAAGGGTGGCTTTCTGTGCTGGGTGATTCAGAGGAGGAAGGCCCACAGGAGGGGAGGCCCAGGCACCTGTACTTTCAAAACTCCTGGTGGGGCAGCAGTGTGTAAAAACTGTTGAACACACTGGACTGCACTGCTCTATTGATACTTTTTTTGGGGGGGAGGGGGTACCAGGGATTGAACTCAGGGGAACTTGACCACTGAGCCCCATCCCCAGCCCTATTTTGTCTTTTATTTAGAGACAGGGTCTCACTGAGCTGCTTAGTTCCTCACTATTACTGAGGCTGGCTTTGAACTTGCCATCCTCCTGCCTCAGCCTCCTGAGCTGCTGGGATTATAGGTGTCACTGAGCCCTGTTAATTATTCTTTATATAGCAATTATGGGATCAGACCATAAATAGTTCTGGAGGCTTTAACCCTAGTGCTGCAGCACGGGCTGCTCTCCTCACCCTGACTGCTGTGCGGGCTTCTTCAAGTCCCACTCAGGGCTGGACGGACATCAGTCACGTCCTGACAGACTCTGCTGAAATGGGCCTCCTGGGGCTGCTTCAGCCACAAGAAGGCCACTATTCCTGAGCATTGGGCAGTTCCCAGGCAAAGGACATCCTGGCTCCCTCTCCTCCCAGCCAGATGACCAGGACAAGCCACAGAATTTTCTAGGCTCCGTTCGTTGTTCATGTGCAGAATGAGAACACCACTTGACTGGTTCGTGCGCTGGAGAAACAGCCCAGACACAGTCCTCTGTGCGCCCCAGAGCGCCTCTGGCAGGACAGTTTCATACAGTTCAGAAAGTGAACATGCCCATCATCAAAGCAGCGGGACACAGTCAGACCTGGTGGTGCACACCTGCAACACAGCAACGCGGGAGGCCTGCGGCGAGCCTCTGCGACTCAGTGAAACGTCTTCCCAAAATTGAAAAATAAAAAGGGCTGGGGATGTGGCTTGGTGGTGGAGCACCCCAGGGTTCAACGCCAGTACTAAAAGAAATTAAGAAGTGGGATCTTTCACATGCACACACAACTCGCCGATGGACTATTTCAACAAAAAACCAGGGGCACGCAAGAAGTGCAGAGATGCAAATGCATCTCCTGGAGAGCGTGCACTGGGGTCAGATGAGTTTTTCTATTCCAAAGTCTTAGAATGCCTCGTGGAGTCCACAGGTTTGATGTGCATGGTTCATCTCACACACTCATCTTTGCACCCAATGCCCAAGAGAGAGCCTGGCTCCCGGCAGGTGCTCAGCAGACACCTGTGAGGTGAACACATGGGCACGGCCAGTGCTGGGCATTCTCCACTTCTGTGCTCTCTGTTCAAATTGAGGTGCAGAGTTCAACAAAAGGATATGTGCTCAGGAAAGACAAGTACGGGCTCTGTGTTCAGATTTCTGGGATACCTAATAGCACTGTGTGCTAACGAGCCTGGCTCTGGAACAGGTGTGTGCACATGAGTCTACATGGGCACCTATGAGCGTCCACCAGGAGCCGAAGCCACAGCTCTGTCGGAAGTTTCTGGACCCTGGGAACCTGCCAACAGCCATCCCTCATAACTTGAGTTGGTGCCCAGAGGGAGGGACAACAGAAAAGAGAGCCATGTCAAAACCCATTTTCCCTACAGGCTTGGAGCTCTGCTTCCAGAATCTTCTAACTTGTACTCAAGATAAAACCACTTAACTGTGCACASTTCACGATAAGATGTCTGTTGTGTCAGAGGCCATGGGGACAACACTTCACAGGTAAGAGAAAGCTCTCATGCTGAACCATGCTCGACAGACTGGGCTCTGGGCTCAGTTCAGCCCTGCCTGCTTCTGCACAGCCTGAGAGCCAAGGATGGGTTGTTTTCATTTGGTTGGGAAAAAGTCACCTGAATGACACTGTGCATGGAAACATATGAGGTCCCCATGTCCAGATGAATGAGTATTGTGGTGCTCGGCCACACCCCCATTCACTTGTGGCCTGCGGCTCTCACACAACCTGCAGGACTGAGAGCTGCACAAAGCCGCTTTCCGGCTCTGGGTGTAACAAGTTCCCCAGCCCCTGATTCACAGGGCAGTCCTCAGGACAGCCCGGGAGACACAGAGCTGGCAATTTCTGGACACTCACAATGTGCCCTGGGGAAGCAGCACCAAGGCCCGAGTTTACCCAGAAGCACCAGTTTCCTGTTGTGGGGGAGGGGCGTGCTTGTCCACAAGGCAGTTCGTGAAACTTACCCGACCGCACGACCCCCACACACAGCTCACTGTCCTAATGGAGCGATGAATAATTTACCTCATCACTGCATTTGAAGGGCAATGAGATTACCCTGGGCTCTGAGCCTTGGCTCTGAGCAGTGGCTCCGTGCTGCCCCCTAGTGGGAACCCACTGGGTTCCCTCTGAAGCCACCCCAACCCCGGCCTCCTGGCTGCTCCTTCCTCCCACCCCCTGCAAACCTAGAGAGCTCGAAATTGATTCACCAAGAGATAGGCTGGCAAAAGGACGCAAAGGCAGCTTAGTGGCATGTGACATAATCAAGGCGCACTTTCAAAGGGGGTGCGCTCGCTATTCCATCTGGCTGTACTGGACCATTCTGCAGGGTTCTGGCCTCCCAGACGGCAGCAGCAGGCTGCAGGGAAATCAGGTCAAGTATGTTCTCCGCAGGGGTGGACCAAAAGGTACTGAAAGGTCTCTCCTGATTGTAAGGGAGACCTTGGTTCTGATGAACAACCCCCTCTCCAACCATCAGGCTGGTCAAAGTCAGTCACCCCCCACTCCTTTAGAAAAGTCGAGCTTTTCTTCTTTCACAAAGCTTGTCCACTTCCTGGGGCCCAGCCAGCACCAAGCCTCCCCCAGATACCCGCTCATGGAGGCTGTTGTCATAACAACGTGGATGGCCTCAATGACCCCCTTCCCACCTATCAAGACAAGGGCAGATGAGTCGGGGACAGAGAGGTTGAGACAAGGAAGAAGCAGCTGGCAAGAACTCTGGAGCCACCACTTGCAATGAGGCTTCTACCTCCGCCAGGCTCAGAGCTCTTACCCTGAGAAGGGAGCCATGACCTGGGGGAACCCTGCAGAGCTTAGCTGCAGTCAGAGGGAGAGCGCGCTCAGCACAGGCGAGCGCAGCACACACCTCCTCAGCAGCCTGGGCGGTCTTTTTCCTTGGGGTGGGGCTGGGGGCAGAGTAGAAAGAGATCTGCCCAGTCTACTACACCCACACACCAGGCCTCCAGAACAACGATCCCAAGGTCTGGTACTGTGGGCCAGAGCACCAGGACACCTGCAGTGCTAGTCCTCCTCACTGTCACAGGAGGGGCAGGAGTCACTCAGAGTTGTGGGGAATGTGGACACGGGACGCACACAAGCCATGACTCTGGGGTCTGAGGAAAGGGGACAGATGAGCCAGGCAGCTCTAGAGGAGCAGGCTCTTGCTGGCAGCTCTGTGCAGCTCCCTCCTCCCATCCTCCACCTCCAAGGTGACTTGCTCATTTGTGGAGGGTCACAAGCCCTGCATGCTAATAAGATGGGCCTGGGATAATATAGATTTAAGAATAAAAACAAGCCCCAGGACACCACTGCCCTGCAGCAATTTCAACCTGCTGTTCCTCCTGCTGCACTTTCCCTGCCAACCAAAGCACGGGCTGTTACTATAGCAACTGAATCTCCAGCGTGGGCCCAGGCCCTGGAGAAGGTCAGCTCACATTGCATTGTGTGGATGATGCAGTGACTGCAGAGGAACCTTCCAGAGCCAGTTAGGACTTCAGATGCCCCAGGCCCTCTAGGAAGGCACAGTGGGTCACTGTGTGTAGTGGTGGGGCTGAGGTGAGAGTGCAGGGTTTCTAGGGGACTCCCGGGGTGCAACCCCTGCAGAGCAGATTCCACCTGCATGCAACCTGGAGCTGCGCAGCCAGGAAACCAGGCCAGCACAGGGGTGTCACAGTGGCCCTGCCCCACCCCTGCCTGTACCATCTCGCTGCCCCTGGGCTACTGATGAGGAAGCAGAGGCTCAGGGGGCAGCACCACCCTGGAGAATGAGAGTTGGGACCCCAGCCACTGAGACCAGAGGAAGTGGAAGTGGGAGAGAAGCCACATCTGGGTACCTCTGCAGCTGCCCTGCGCCGTGTGCTCATCCCTCACTGCCCCAGGAGACCCCAGACACAGCTCTGATCCTTGGCCCAGCTGCAGAGACACAGGCCCTGTGCGGGTTGAGCCCGCTAGGGGAGGAGCGGCCTGCCTGTTATTTCTAGCAGGAAGGGAGAGGACAGAGGGCTGGGGAGGGGCTCTGGAGACACTCACCACCTCCTCAATGGCGGCGCCATCTCCCAGCAGCGGCTCCTCGGCCAGCAGGGACAGCACCAGGCCCTTGACGCTGTGGGTGTACAGGTTCATCTGCACAAGTCCCGAGTGGGACCCTGCTGCGGCCAGCGTGCAGTCCGCTCTGTCTGCAGAGGGCCTGTCACCCTGAGGGTTGGCGGAGTTTGAACTGCCCTCCAATCCAGGGCCCTCCAGGCTCCTGTGGACCCCGTCGACACCCTGAGCCACACCCTGCTCCCCACAAGACAGCTCAGTCTCTCTCTGCCCTGGATCTGGGCAAGGCGGTGGCAAGGGCCTGCTGGTCCTTCTGGGGAGAGGATCTGCTCCAGGAACAAGGGTGTGGCCACTGGTGGCAGGAAGGTCCTCGCCCTGTTCTAGGACTCCGTTCTGGGTGAGTGTCTCAGGAGGGGCAGGAGAGAAGCGGCTGCTGACAGCTGAGTCCTCAGGCACTGTGGGCTCCAAACTGCTGGCACCATTCACAGGTTCTTGGCTGCAGGGACCTCTGCCACCCAGGGCACACACATGTGGGAAAGCAAGATGGCCTGAAGACGGTCCTTCTTCATGAGCTTCTGGAATGTGGACTTCAGACAAGTCCAGCTCTCCCTCGGGAAAGCCTGGCTCCTGCAGCGAGCAGCTGAGGCCAAGACCCTGGCTCTGGACCAGGCTGCGCAGTCCCGCAGACCCAAGGGGCTCCAGCTCCCGGCCAGGCACATGCCCATTCTCCTGCCTGCCACTTGGCCAGGCTCTCCCTGGACTCAGAGGCGCTGGAGTGGTCACTGGCATACAGGACACAGATTCCGCATGCCTGGTGGCATGTTCCTTTGGGGCAGATATGCCCCGACTCTTTGTAGCGTGCTGGGCCGGAGTGTCCTGGAGTCGGGCTGAAGGCGTGGGAGAGCTAGGGAGAGGGCAGTGGGCGTGAGAAGGCCAGCAGCGGAGAGGGGAGGGAAGCACTGACCCCTGAGCGGCCCGGGAGGAGTGGGAGCTGGGCCCACAGAAACCAACTCCAGGAGTGAAGGAAGACAATGCCCAGGGTTAGTGCTCCATGCAGTGTCGACAGGATCACCTACTGCACATGGCAGCCCCCCGCACAGAGGGTCTCCTGTGTGTCAGGCCCTCTACTGGGAGCTGTACACACACATTATGGGGTCCACTTGACAGATGAATAAGCTGGGGCTCAGGCAGGGAATGGACTTCCTCAAAGTCCCCTGCTGATAAGGAAGAGGTCTGGGACATGGGAGCCACTGTCCTCTTAACAACACCACACCCCTGTGACCAGCACCTGCAGTTACAGATGGAGCCGAGCAGGTCAGAGTAGGAGCAGGAGGGCTGAGGAAGGGTGGGAGGTCCCAGGTTTGTCTCAGGGGCTGCAAGATGAACCCCTGTGAGCTCCTCACCTACCCAGGCACCCGCTCCGCTGGGAACTCTCGGAGGCTCACAGCTTCCTCTTGGGTCACGAAGACAGGTGTGATCAGAACATTCGGGGGGAACGCTGTTCCTGGAATTGCAAAGCATCGTGGGAAAGCTCTCCGCACGGCCAGGGGAAACAGAGGCAGGGACTGTCCGTGGGTTGCTGCATCCAACCGCCACCTGCCCCCCACCCCCAGGCTTGGACAGCAGCGTTGGAAATGCATCCCCAGCCAGACAAAAAGCCACAAAACTGTAGCTCAATTTCTGTGACCAGCAAGGAAAGAGCCTGTGCAGACAAGGCTACTGCCAGCTGTGGGCCAGGGAGACGGTCAGTGGAAGAAAGTCGAGTGGCCCTTAGTGAGAAAAAGACACAAGCCAGGAAAAAACGCTTCCGACTGACACGGATCAGCCCTCAAGTAGAGCTCAAAATGAAACCAAGTCCTCTGGGGACACCTCTGTGTCCTGCAAAAGGGCCTTTGGGCAGTCTCCGCCTTCCTTACCCTTTCCCCATTGCCAGGCCCTGGAACCTGAACATGCGGTGTCACAACACTGAGCTGGGGAGGGTCTGACGCAGGGAGCCGGAGGGCGCGCCTGGACCTCCAGCTTGACAATCAGGACTCAGCCGGGCAACTACCTGTTCCCCAGGCCCTACCAGGCCCATTTTCCTAATCTTCAGAGCAGAGGAAAGGAACATACGGCACTGGTGGCCTTTACGTGGCTTGTCCAGTGAAAGGCGGCGTACAAGAGTACCTTTCCCAAATGCCACCACGCCACTTACCCGCTTCCTGTGGGGCGGCCCCTGCTGCGGAGAGTCTCTGAAAACAAACAGGCACACAGGTCAGCTCGGGGCGCCGCGTGCTCCTCTTGACCTGACCATGAGGAACCTGTGCCATCTGCTCACAGGACCTGGCCAAGCCCAGGGAGCTTGTCCCAGCCACATGCCAAGAGCCTGGCAGATGGAACAGAAGCTCCCCCAAGCTGCTGGCTCCTGCCACGGCTGGGCGGAGGCGGGGTCTGTGCCTCTCAGGCTGCCAGGCAGCGCCCACCAGCTTCAGGCCCAGCTCATTCCTGTCTTTCCACAGGAAGAACAAGTGGGGGTCTGTGTTCTTTTACATCTTTGGGGACTTCACATTCTAGAGAGGAGCCACACATGCCCCCACCCCAACGAGAACTCATACCAAGTCCATCACAGCAGACACGGGGCAGGCCTGTGACCCTCGCCCTAGAAGACAGACACATCTCCTGCTTATTCTGGTCCAAGATCAAGGCTAGAAACTGAAGGGTTTTTTCTCAAACCTCAACCTAAAGGTGCCAAAAGGATCCACCAAAACAAGACAAAACCAAAACACAACACAGACTGCTCCTCTAGCCAAAATGACTCATGTGAAATGACGTGGCTGGCTTTCTCTGCTGGGAATCTTAAAGCCATGCTTTTGCTTGAGGTTACCAAGCCACACGGAAGTTCATTCTAGACAAAAATGCTTTAAAAAAGAATAACATATAATCCCTAATCTTCAAGCAAATAATACTATTAGCATATTTAAGCATTTTTCTCCTAAGTCCTTATGGGGTTTTTTTATACTTTTGAGACATAAAATTTGATTTTTCCACTTTAAACACTAACACGCAGTTCTTCGGGCCATTTTCAATGGCTGCTAAAATCTCATCAAGTGTAAACTTGCATGGACAAGTTGACCGTCTCCCCACCTCAGACCAGTGCTGAGCATACTTTCCTGGACAGGGCGAGACAACCACTCTCCAGCTTCCTGAGCCACGTGGCTGTGCCCCAGTGGCTGGCCCTGCTGCAGGAGCTGACGGCAGTTCAATAAAGCTTTATTAGCAGCATCTGGCCCCTGGTCCAGAGCAAGCCACATCCTGCAGACAGTCAGGCGGCACCTGATTTTTCACTTTCACAAATCCTACTGTGATTGTTCTGAATGGAAACCTGTTTACTAGTTAGTCTTTTCTTAGAGTGGATCTTGAGAAGCTTCGTGTCAGGAAAAGGGTCGGGTTTCCATAAGTCCCCATCATCAACTGCTTACCACAGGGGCTCTGCTGACGGACACCCCATAGGGGTGAGGAGCCTGGACAGAGCCCACTAACACTTTAAAAAGTCTGATTTCACAGGGGTGATCCCAGTGACTCAGGAGGCTGAGGAAGGACAGCAAGCTCAAGGCCAGCCTAGGCAACTCAGTGAGACCCTGTCTCAAAAAAATAAACAAACAAGGCTAGGGTGTGCCTCAGTGGCAAAGTACTCCTGGGCTCAATCCTTGGAATGGCAAAAAATTAAAAGGACTAGAAGAAAATGTAGCAGAGCTGGCGACAGTTACCTCCTGCAGCTCGACTGTGAGTGATATCACTCTCAGGGACTATGCCGGACTGTCCTTACTAGCAGCACAATTGAATGAGCACCAAATGGAAGTGTTTTAGGAGTTGCTGTTTTCCTAGGTCCTTCTAAGGACATGACCTTTACAGTGARGTCCAGAAAACCCTGACATCTCTCTGACATGACAGCCGTCCCAGGGGAAAGTCTCAAGAGTCCCACTTGGGGTGGAGAAAAAAGCCATCCCAGCCCAGCGTGCAGAAGGAGACTTCTGTCTCTCCAAGGACTCCTCTCTGGAGGGACCCACACTGACAGCCAAGGGGTCCTGGTGAGACACAGGGACACAAGTGCCCCGGCCCAGCTGGCATTCAAAGTCAGCCCCCAGCTCGGGACAGGCACTCTGGCCAGGAGGGCGGGCTTCAGCATACCTGGTCCCGAGGTGCAGGCTGGTGAAGCAGGACCTTGGCTGTGAGCGAGGGCTGCAGCTGGGTGCTCACGATCCTGGGGGTGAGACAGGAACAGGAGCACCGTGAGAAGCAGCACACTGAGACCTCTGGGTTTAAAGGAGCCCATCCTTCCTTGCCGTCAAGGGCCCTGGGGACATGGCTGGCAGGAGGTTCAATTAGTAAAGCCCTCACAGAGACTACTCTGGGGGTCCTATCCATAGTTAGCATACCTGACCCCTGGACCAGGCTTATAGGAGGACCTACGCAAAAGGATGTGAATTACCGAGAAATGAGAAATATATTCAACACAAGTAAGTGACTCAACTATCCGTGAAAATCAGAGACATTACATAGACTATGGCACAGCCAGAATACCAAAACCACAGCCCTTACAGAGCAGGTGGACCACGAGGCCTGGAGAGCAACCTCCACGCTACATCAAGCCCAGGGGCCCACGAGCCCCCTTCTGTAGAGAGGAGAAAAAGACAAAATCAATGCCTGTGGGCTGGGGCCGTAGCTCAGGTAGAGCACTTGGCTAGCACCATGAGGCACGGGGTTCCATCCTCAGCACCACATTAAAAAAACAAAAAGAAAATAAAGGTGTGTCCATCTACAATAGAAAAAAATTTTTAAAAATCAATGCATGTGTCTGTGTGAAGACAGCTCTCATCCTACAGACCTGCCAGCGCAGGAAAATTTGCATACTGCTGACTGCAAGGGGCTGAGTGGGGGACAGAGATAGGGACTTTCTGCTCTGCTGTTTCTGTGCTGGAGGATCTCTCTTTTTTTTTTTTTTAAACAATAAGGGCATCCATATATTCAGTCATATAATTTAAAAATACGTAGAAAATGCAAAATATCATCTTTGATTGTGAGTTACCATGTGAGCTTGAAAGCCCCACAAACCATGGCACAGCCATCCTGCTGAGAACAGGGAAGGGGCCAGGGACAGCCAGCACTGGGACCACCTCCTCCTGCCACACGTGCGATTCACTGCACGGCCCACAGAGGGCCTCCATTTCCCGTGAGAGGGAACCGAGGCTAAACAGCCGGCCCMAGGCCACAGCACTGGGGACAGAAGCAGGATCAGGGCACCGGCAAGCCCAGAGCCCAGCCTCCAGAGCTCATCTGGAAGAGTCCGAGCATTCCTGGCCATGCAGCCACCTGGTTGGCAGGGAGCTCCAGGCCCTGGCCACCCTGCTGGGAGAGCAGAGCTCTGGAAGGAGAGGCCCGGGAGAGCGTGGAGAGCCTCAGGCACTTTGGTTCAGGAAGAAGCCCTCCAACTATGTGAGGGGGGTGAGGACACCCAGATGCCAATCAGGATGCAGACCTGGCCATGAGGCTGGAAGGAGAGGGCAAAGGCGTGTACGGCTGCTCTGCAGAGGCAAACTGAATGCAGCAAGGCCACAGGGTCCTCTGGGCAGCAGGAGGAAGGCCACAGCAGACTTCCGGGACCCTTCTGCTCACAAGCTGGCTGGCCAACCCTGGGGGCTTCGTGCCGGCACTAGACCTTGGCAAGGCCCCACTGAGAACCACGTGGATCCCTCTCACAGCCCCCTCCTTTCCTGGGCACAACACCTTCCAAGTCCCAGATGTGCCCCAGGAAGGGGACAGACACCAAGTCAAACCTCAGCTACCTGTTGTTTGCCAAACTAGCCCGTACAGACTGGCCAGAGACCAAGCTCCCTGCCCATGCCCGGCAGGCACTGTGGGCAGTTCTGCAGCAGGGGGTGTGGGTGGAGGAGGGGGCTCAGGGTCACTCACAGTCCTTCATAGAGGATGCACCCAGCTAGTACGTGAGGCGAGCGCTGGCAGGTCTGTAGGATGAGAGCTGCCTTCAGCAGCAGCAGCGGCTCCACCTGCACGGACAAGACCACAGCCTCCAGTAAGCATGCGCACAACCAGCCCAGGAGTCCAGGGAAGAGGCTGCACAGGACGAACGGGCAGGTCCTAACTCCAAGGCTGGAAAAAGGTAGTGTCGTGCCATGGTTCTGCTCTGTCTCTCCATACCCACAACTGCTGATGCCACAAAACACCATGTTCTTAGTACAAAGCAGCATTTCTGGGAGCTGGAAGATGCAGCAAATATGGCCTATGGCTGTTCCTAAAGGACAAAGTGGGTCACTCAGGAGACCCTACTACCAATACTAAGACCAGGTGGCAGCAACAGAGGAGAGCATGCCCTCCAAATGCAGGTCACAGAGTCAGCAAAACCTACCTGTCTGCCCTGCACTATGCAGCACAGCCCCAGGGAGGGGAGGCCCGACTGGCACTGAGCAGAGCCCATCACTCAATGCCGTCACATAAAACACAGGCACCGTGGCCTTCCTTAGGCCAACTCAGCTCAGCTACACTGCCTTTGAAAGAGCCAACTGTCAGCCATGTTCAATGGCACTTGCCTATCATCCCAGTGGCTTGGGAGGCTGAGGCGGGATGCTCAAAGCCAGTCTCCACAACGGTGAGGTGCTAAGCAGCTCAGTGAGACCCTGTCTCTAAATAAAATACAAAATAGGGCTGGGGATGGGGATCAGTAGTTGAGAGCCCCTGAGCTCAATCCCCAGTACCCCCCCCAAAAAAAAAACCCAAAAGAATAAACTGCTCATAAGTTCCTAAAATGACAAGAACATCCCGCGAACCCCACAGCCTCCTCCTGTTAAACACCTGCAAGTGCCCATGAGCTGTCACAGTCCAGTGTGAATGGAGTGGAGCCAAGTCCTGGAGCAGAACCCTGTGAAGGAGTTACGTCTATTTTTTCATGGCCTGAGACTACAGTCCCCCAGGAAAAATCCTTCCCCAGGTCAAGCAGAGTCACAGCGCCACACCCTGCGCAGGACACACTTACTACAGCAGGGAGGCCAGGAGGGCTCCTGCAGGACACTCAGGGCTCAGAAGGCTCATTCTTAAGGGGGAGGTGGGTCAGGCCAGCCACAGAGCAGCCGGGCTGCAATGAGCTCCCAAGACAGGGGGATGGCAGAACCTCCCCATCTCCCTCTCAGACACAGCAAGGTCACAGTCCTGGCCTTCGTGATGGTAACATGGAACCTGTGGATTGGCAAGGGACCTGTGGGTTCCTGAGTTCAATACTTCTGAGAACACCAACATGGTGCTCCTTTTGTGTGTGTGTGTGGGGGGGGGGCAGGTGGGAACCAGGGATTGAACCCAGGGGTACTTGGCCACTGAGCCAAACTCCCAGACACCTTTATTTTCTATTTAGAGACAGGACCTCACTACGCTGCTCAGGCTGGCCTCGAACCTGCAAGATCCTCCTGCCTTAGCCTCCTCAGTCACTGGGATCACAGGCATGCACCACCACGACTGGCCTGGCATTCCCTCTACTGAGTATTTTCTTGGTGACATTTGAGACCCAGCCTCACCGTACCATCAGAGCAACTGTCATGGTGGGATCACGACACCCCTTCATGGATGAGGGCAGTGGCCCTGCAAGTGGCCTGGCCCAGCCCACTCCATGGCTAAGGAGCAGCAGCCCAGGGGCCACGTATAAGGCTTCCCAACCGCCCTGCCAGGGAGTGACCCATCCAGCCACTTCTCTAGCATTCTCTAAGGAACACTTCTGGACGGTTTCCAGAGGCTCTGATCTTGTGCACACAGAGTGAGGAGGGTGAGGCAGATACCTTGGTTCGGTCCAAGTTCCAGAGGGAATTGAATATCTTGTGCAGATCGCTAGTGTTGCTCAGAACGCGCTGGATGAAGGTGTTCCACTGCGAGCTTAGTTCTTCCTGAGAACGGCTCTGTCAGAAACAGTCTGAGGTCACTGTCTGAGATTTGGAGGGACAATTCTGGCAGATACCATGAATGTTGCTCATAGCACAGAAAACCAGCCAGAGGGAGGGCCTATTTTGAAGTCCCCCCTGTCCTGCATTCCAGCCCCATTACAGATCCAGGGCACTTTCTAGGGAAGTGGGGGACCAGAGCCTGCTCTATCTAACCATCCCAGGGGAAGCAGAGGTGACAAGCACTCAGAAACATGGGCATCTGAGGGGGCTCAAGGGACCCTTGACATGGTCACTGGACACCGAGGGTCTATGTGAAGAGTATCGGGCCCCAGTGGGTAAGCGCTGTGTTCTGGGAACACTGTCTCGCTGAAGAGGCTTAGCATGACTAGACATCACAGTTGTACCTTATAAGCCAGGGAAACAGGCCCATTGTAAAAATGGAAGAATCCGATGAGCTGATCCAGAAACCGCTTGCAGCTGACATCAGGGAGCTCCACGGCGCAGCCCAGCACCTGTGAAGAGGGAAGCCAGGCAGAAGGTGCTTCCGTTATCTTGTGGCCAAGCCAGAGGCCCAGCACCCAGGGCCCCCACGGCGACTGCTCTGGCTCCCTGCAGTCCACCTCCTGGAGCCCTGAGCCCATACCCTCCACAGCAGCAGACTGGTCGCATGGAGAACAAGTACCTTTTGTCCCTCTCTCCATGCAGCTGGGCCTGAAGTGCCTCCTTCCCTCCTATTCGTCCATCCAGGCTTCGCCCACACCCCCAGGCCTACTCCACGTCCAGGCACTTCCCTGCTGCCGCTTCTGCTAAGACTTCTTTCCCGTGAGGGCTGCTGTATGGACACTGGCTTTCATCTGGATTTTATTATAGACACTGGATGGACTCAGACTGTCCCATGAATGGCCAGCCTGTCTCTCCGGCTGGATGAAGCGCTTCAAGGTGGCGGCTGACAGGGCCCTCAGTTCTAGCCCTTTGAGCTGAGCACAGCGCTCAGTCCTACAAGACCAATGCCTGCCTTAGAGCCCTCTGGCCAACGTTAAAGAGCCTTAAACTGTTCGTTTTTATTTTTTTTTAATTTTATTTTTGTTGTAGTTGTAGATGGACAGCACACCTCTACTTATTTTTATGCTGTGCTCAGGATCAATTGAACCCAGTGCCTCACACACGCTAGGCAAGCACTTTGCCACTGAGCTAGCCCCATTTGTATTCTTTGACCCAATAATTCCACCTCTAGGAATCAGTCCTGAGTGCAGCACCAGAAATTTAAACAAATAAGCCCCACCCAAAAACAAAGAAACAAAAATTCCCCCTGAAGGTACTGCAGCAGGGGACATTCTGTTCTCTGATGTGTTCAAAACCCGACAGGAGTCTGGCGCACAGGAAGTGCCTGCTTCTCCACTAACCGACCGTGGGTCAAAAGCAATTCCAATCAGAACCCAGAAGCTGCTCTTTCAAAACTGACCTCTACAATGGAAACCCAAATGATCTAAAACACCCAAAGCTGTTATTCTTGAAAAAGAATAAGGCTAGAGGGTTTTATCATCCCTGAAAGCTCCCCCATAGTCCTCTCTGGTTAACTCTAGCCCCTTCAACCCCAGCAGCCATTGTTCTGAGTTTTTTGCACCATAGAATAGTTCTGCCTGTTCTAGAGCACCCTGAGTGACACACTACATTTAATATATTCTCTTCATGGCTCTGGGCTGCCGCTTATCATTTGTGAGATTTCTCAAAACTATTACGTTATCAGTATCTACTGCTTTTCATTATTAAACCACATCCCATGGTGTGAACATGCCACRGTCCGTCTATTCATTCTCTTTTTGTTGGATGAAAACATTGCTAGTTTGGGGCAATTAAGAATGAGGCTCCTAGGGGCTGGGGTTATAGCTCAGCGGCAGAGCACTTGCTTCGCACTTGTGAGGCACTGGGTTCAATCCTCAGCACCACATTAAAAAATAAGATAAATAAAGATATTGTGTCCATCTTTAAAAGAAATCTTAAAAAAAAAAAAAAAAGAATGAGGCTCCTGGGACCCTCCATTAGGACCCTCCTGGGGATGTGCTTTCTTATTGCTGCTCGAAGGCAAGGTGTACGTATCTGGTTTCAGGATTTATTACAAAGCCATAGAATCAAGAGAGCGTGGTATTTGCATAGACCCTTCACTGGAGGAGAACACAGTGTCTGGAAGTAGACCCCTCTCAAATGCCCATCTGATCTACAACGAGGGAGCCCCCAAAATTCAAGAGGGACAGGAGAGTTTTTCTAACAATGTTGCTGGAACAACTGGATATTCAGATGGAAACAAACAAACCTGACCCCGAGCACACCATAAGAAATAATCCACCCTGGATTACAGACCTAAATTTCTTGATAAAGTTTTTTTTATGTAAAGGATCAAAGTATATACAAGGAAAATCTAAAACCAGTCTATATTAAATCATCATAGCTATGGGTATGTTAGAAATGACTGCTTCCTACAAAAACAATTTAAAAATTTGATCTTTACACACAATCCATAAACAATTAGAAAATTTAATTTCATAAAAGATGCCATTTATGATAACAATAAAAACATATAAAATACCTATTCAGAAAACACTCAAAAGAGGAGGAAGATCTTTATAGACAAAATTATAATATTTTTTGAAACACAGTTAAGAAGATACTAGTAAATCAGGGCTGGGGATGTGGCTCAAGCAGTAGCACGCCCGCCTGTCATACATGCGGCCCGGGTTCAATCCTCAGCACCACATACAAACGAAGATGTTGTGTCCGCCGAAAACTAGAAAATAAATATTAAAAAATTCTCTTTCTCTCTCTCTCTTTAAAAAGAAAAAAGAAGAAGATACTAGTAAATCAGGGCTGGGGATGTGGCTCAAGCAGTAGCACGCCCGCCTGTCATACATGCGGCCCGGGTTCAATCCTCAGCACCACATACAAACGAAGATGTTGTGTCCGCCGAAAACTAGAAAATAAATATTAAAAAATTCTCTTTCTCTCTCTCTCTTTAAAAAGAAAAAAGAAGAAGATACTAGTAAATCAATGTATTATGGTAATAAAAAAGAAAAAAAAAAACAACTTAGCAAAGAAGCCATTCTCCCCAATTTTATCTATAGGTGACGCAATTCTAAATTAATACACCCGCACATTTGTTTTGTTTCAACTTGATGAACTGATGTAAAGTTTTGTATGAAGCAGCAAGAGACTGAGAAGAGCTGACATGCTGCTGAAGAGAAAGCGGGTTTGCCTGGTCTTACTGGGAACACCTCAAAATTCTGCAACACCAGCAGAGGCTGGATAGAAACACAGACAGTGGAGAGGAACCTGGTGTTCAGAATCAGACCCAGTAAAGAGCAGATGCTCTAGAGCTGCTATAAGAATGCGTCAGTATCAAAAACTTCTGCTCATCAAAGAAAATGAATAGGCAGAGGACCAGGTGCAGTCGTACCTGCCTGGAAGCCCAGCAGCTCAGGAGGCTGAGGCAGGAGGATCATGAGTTCGAGCCCAGCCTCAGCAACTTAGTGAGACCCTAAGCAACTTGGTGAGACACTATCCCAAAATAAAAACTAAAAAGGGCTGGGGATGTAGCTCAGTGGTAAAGTGCCCCTGGGTTCAATCCCCAGCACTCCCCACCCACCCCCCAAAAAGAAAGAAAGAAAGAAAGAAAAAGAAATAGGCAGACTACAAACTGGGAGAAAATATTTTTTAAATATATATCTTATAAAGAACTGGTTTTCAGGATATAGGAAGAACTAGGATTCAACTAAAAAAAAAWTTTTTTTTTGCCACTGGCTTTGAACAGACACTTCCCAAAGGAAGACATTCAAACGGCCTCAAGCACATGGAAGAACCTCCATGTCATTAGTCATCAGGGAAACGCATATGAAAGCCACAACGAGATACCACTGCACAGCCAGAGGAATGCCTAAAATTACTCGGAATGACATCACTGTCAGGGAGGACGTGGAGAATTGGAACTCTCCACATCCCTGTTGGCGAGAGTATAAAATGGTATAACCACTTTGGAAAAAGATTGGCAGTTTCTTAAAAAATCCAACATACACCTTACCTATAGAAAGAAAGTTCCAGGAGCCTCACTTTTGTTGAGGCTGGCTTTGAACTCACGATCCTCCTGCCTCAGCCTCYCGAGCTACTGGGATCACAGGCGTGCGCCACTGTGCCCAGCAAGCTCTATTCTTAATTGCCTCAAACTAGCAATGTTTTCATCCAACAAAAAGAGAATGAATAGACAGACTGTGGCATGTTCATACCATGGAAAACAGTTTAATAATAAAAAGCAATGCAGCTGGGGTTCTTGCTCAGTGGTAGAGGGCTTGCCTAGAATGTGCGAGGCACTGGGTTCAATTCTCAGGACTGAATATAAATAAATGAATAAAATAAAGGTCCAGCAACATCAAAAAAAAAAAAAAAAAAAAGCAACGGATACTGATGTAACAGCCTTGAGAAACCTCACAAATGATAAGCAGAAAACCAGAAGCACTAAAGAGTACTATACAAGATGCACTGTGTCACTCATGATGTTCTAGAACAGACAAAACTAGTCTATGGTGAAAAAAATATTCCTGGGGTTCCTTGAAGCCTCACATGTGCACATTAGTGTCTCAGGCCTTAGGGTCACTGAGTGTGGACAGCATGGAGCGCACGGGGAGAAAAGGGAGGCAAAAACTCAATTTGCAACACAGAGCGACTAACATGGCCACCAGTGGGCCCCAGTCGTCATATTTTAACTAGATTTTTATTTTTGCTTTTTGTATTTAGCAACCCTAGGAGGTAAAATCAAATCTCGTTTAATCTATTAGAGCTAACAATTCTTTTCCACGTTTTTTATTGATGCATGATAACGGCCCAAGTTTCAGGAAAAGAAAGATCAGCCATGTGCTGGGTGTGGTGTGTTAGAAATGTGTGGAGGGGCTAGGGCGGGCTCAGTGGCAGAACGTTTGTTTAGCATGCACGGGGCCGGGGATGAGCTCAATCCCTGCACCTAACAAAAAGGAAAGAAATGTGTCGGAGAACACTGAACTACCTTGGTACCTGCAGAGTGTCACAGGAAACGTGGATGACCACTGGACCCAGCACATGGGGGCTGGGGGGGAGCGTCTGGGTTCAGCGCCACAGCAGCCTGCCTGTCTCAACTTGACCATCCTAATACCTCAGGGGGCTCTGCCTGCTTAGACTTACCCAGAGGTAATCTCCGTCCACCTTCACGGCAAACTTGAGCTTCCGAAGACGGATGAGGGTAGGAGGAGAGTCAGAAATGTCAGAGACACAGCGGACCACTCCGGCAATCTGCCCGCACAGCAGCTCCTGCTGGTCCAGCAGGGTCTATGAGAGAGGAGCGGATTCTAGAAACCTGGCTGACATTCTTTTTTTTTTTTAAGGTACCAGGAATTGAACTCAGGGGCACTTGACCATAGGACTTGACCATGTCCCCAGGCCTATTTTGAATTTTATTAGAGACAGGGTCTCCCTGAGTTGCGTAGCGCCTTGCTAAATTGCTGATGCCGGCTTTGAACTCATGATCCTCCTGCCTCTTGTCTCCCGAGCTGCTAGGATTACAGGTGTGTGCCACCACGCCCGGCATGGCTGACAGTCTTGAACTCCTGGTTCATTCCTTAGAGCCAACTGAGCACTGCAGGCCAAATCCCGTCCACCATCTGTTTTCATATGGTCCTTGGGCCATGAATGGCTTTTATATTTTTTAAGGGTTATAAAAATAACAACAGCCAGGCACAGTGGCACATGGAGGCTGAGGCAGGAAGATTGTGAGTTCAAAGCCAGCTTCAGCAACTTAGCGAGGCCCTAAGCAACTGAGCAAGAACCTGTCTCCAAATAAAACATAAAAAGGTTGGGGAATGTGGCTCAGTGGTTCAGTTCCCCTGGGTTCAATAAATAAAAAATAACTACAAAGAATATGGTACAAAGCCCTTGGGTGGCATAAATAAAAAATAACTACAAAGAATATGGGACAAAGCCCTTGGGTGGCATCCAAAGCCTTAAACATTTACCATTAGGACCCTAACAAAATTTGCCACAGCCCCTAGCCAGGTGTGCTGGTAATCCCAGCAAATAGGAAGGCTGAGGCAGGAGGATCACAAGTTAAGACCAGCCCGGGCAACTTAGTGAGAACCTACCTTAAAATAAAAGTTATAAAAGGGCTGAGGATGTTGCTCAGTGGTAAGGTGCCCATGGGATCAATCCCCAGTACCACAAAAAAACACCACAAAGTTTGCTAACTCCTGCCAGGGTGGCCGACTGTTAGAGAACCCCTTAGTAAACATGAGAGGATAGTACAGAATTGTATTTGTGCTCCTAAGATCATAGGCACCCACTTGGGTGGAAGCATAAACCTCTCATTCCTACTCAAATCCCCTGCTGGAGGGGCCTGAGCAGCCTGAACTAATCCCGGTCACCCGAGTCATCGGGCAATCACATGAGCAAATACACAGAATCTCCTAATCAGTCTCAGCCTTAACTGGACTGCAGGGCAGCCAGATGTTCTGTGAAGCCACAGAGAACRTTCCCATCAGCTATGAAGAATTCCCACCCACAGAACTGAACGTGAACTTAACCAACACTCTCAAGTGGACCACTAATTTAAAGGAAGCACGGTGGACAGGAGATATGAAATGACACCACCAGGCGGACGGCATCAGCCAAATCTAGAGTGCAGGCCACCCCGACAGTCTATGCACAGGGACTTGGTTTCTTCAATAACTCAATGGCATGGGGAATAAAGGATGAGTGGGTAACTGTAAAGTGTCACAAAAGGGACCTAAAGGATGAAACAACCAAAGAGAATTTGGGGTCGTTGTTTGGACACTGATTATGAGAGAGGGGAGACTGACAGACACAGAGAGGAAGGACCAACAAACTAAATAGCCTCTAAGATGATACAGAGAAATGTGAATATAGTCAGCATATTAGATGTATTAAGCAATTACTGTTATCAACTATTGTAACTTTTGTTAGATGTGATAATGTTTAAAATAACAAAATTGAGTAAAGATGTCACTTGGTACTGGTAAAAGGACACAATGTCTAGAATTTGTTTCAAACTGCTTCTGAAAATAATAATAATAATAGCGGGGGAAGGTAGGCCATATAAAATTGGTGAAGTGTTGATAATTACTGGTGCTGGTGATGACACATGACGGTTTGTGATACTCTACTTTTCTGTACAATATTTTGTGTTTTTTGTTTTTTTTTTTTTTAGTGAGGTGATCAATAAATTGGGGTCAGAGAAAAGCAGACAAAAAGATCAGGATGGTAACAGAGGGCTGGAGAAGAGGAAGTACTGGTTGCCTGGGAATTTCAAGACCAGAACAAGCAACACTATATCAAGAATAAGACAGGGGCTGGAGATGTGGCTCAGCGGTAGTGCGCTCGCCTGGCATGCGTGAGACCCGGGTTCGATCCTCAGCACCACATACCAACAAAGATGTTGTGTCCGCCGAGAACTAAAAAATAAATATTAA